TTCATTCTTAGAAAATTTGCTGACGTTTCGGCTTTTGTTGTCACAGCGACTGGCTGGCTGGCTGGCTGACTGCCTGGGAGATCCCATTTCTGTCAGCATCGTCAGCTAATTACGCGAAATTGCCCAGATCTCTGGGCTCTCTTGGATCTTTTAGTGCGAGAAATCTCAGCAAGTGTTGACTTTGTAGGCGAAATGTCTGGGATGCCAAAGCCTGTGATCAATGGATCACATAGCACCAGCTGGTTTTCGAGATGGCCCCGGCCAAGATGATCTTTTTGTTGGGTAAAAGCAGCCGCCCCAAGGAAAACTGAGTAATTGTTATGGCGTATTAAAAGCGAGATCGCGTGAAAGAGCTTGCTATCGGTGATCATGATCGCGGTTTTAAAGTATGGCCTCTGGGTAAACTTTCGGTTAACTCGTGCGGTGGGGTGATCTAGTTTAGTGGGCTAACTTAATGGTGATTAACCATATTGATTGGTTGCTAATGTTTGCTAATCAGTAAGATAATCAGTAAGTTTGAAGAAAACTATCTTAGTTAGTGATTACTTATAAGCTAAAGCTTAATATCCTAAGAGTTACGATCACTTTAATGTATTGTAAGGATAATCATTTTTATAAACCCACCATTTATCCCCTCAATGAGCTCATAAACAACCCCTACTCCTCCTTTATATCCCCTGCTCCCATCTAATCTGCATTCCAATCGGAAACCCAAAACCCAAACCCAAACCCAAACCCAATCCCCTATACAATGGTCAACAATTGCAGAAGTATATATCACATGATCACACGCCGACGACGCCGATGAAGATGATGATGATATAGTGCCATATAAACCGCTCGCTTCGTTTCTTCTTTTTACACGGCCAAGGAATGCGACAATGCAAAAAAAAAGTAAGTAAAAAAAAAGATCATAAAGGGCCAACAGAGGAAAAGAGATGGGTAGCAACAGCAGAGAGAGAAAGAGTTAGTACCATTCAGTTTTGGTTGCTGGAAAATGATTAATAGTCATGCGGTGGTTGCCTTGAAGCGGGTGGAATGGAAGGGGCGGCACGGGGAGCAGTCAGCGGATGCAGTGCCGCCAGTGGAGACGCCAATAAAGTGGAGCAACCATGCACGGAAATAAAATTTTTAATTATTTTGAATTTTTTTTTTATATTTTAAGGTCATTTGAAACAAAATTTATAATAATATTTTATAATAAAAAGTCATGAAATTTAAAATAATATGAGTTATCTATTTCTTATACACAATTTCCCCTTTATTTTCTTCAGTGTAAAGAAACAGCAGCCAAACAAAAATCAGCTTTGCTGCAAATTTCTTTTGGCAAACGGCAGACAAGGATGGATAGCGTAAAGGAGAGAGAGAGAGATGCAGGATAAGAGGAAGCAAGGTGATCATTTTCTGTGTGAGAATTTGTTGTTGCACCGAAAGAGATTTAAATACCTTATCCGAAGGGGTATCATAATTTATGATAGTGTTACTAAAATAAATTGCTAACTGCATGCGTTTTTTTTTATAAGATTTTTAAAGATTTATTCCTAAATTTGATTGGAATTTTGTTATTAGTCCCTTTTTAGCTTCTTAAAAATCAGAAAAATTGTTAAAAATAGTTATAATATTTAAAGCTTAAAGAGATAATGAGTTAATAAGTGCCTTAGATACCAACAATCCATCTCGTAAAACACTAAAAAAGAGTATTTCCAAGCTCCGATCAACGATCAGCAAATCTTCCCTTTTTCATTCAGTCTCTCCTTGCCCGCTTCTCTGATATTATTTTTAACGATTTAATGTTTTGTGAACTGTTTAAATTGTGCAAACAATTTCAGCTAAGTGCCTGCCTACCAATGATGATGATGATGATGGTGATGGTGAGCCGAGGACGATGGTCAAAAGGGGGTTAAACTGGGTTCACACAGCTTTTTGATGTGGCACAGGAAGTGCAACTTTAATGAAGCGTTTAAGTGGCAGCTGTAGTTGTTGCTGTTGTTTGTGCAGCACGGAAGGTGTCATGCGGTTGTTGTTGTTGTTGTTGTTTATTGCTTTTCATGGTTCAATGAAAGGAATGCCCCTAAAAGTGTGAAGATGAGAGTATGTTTGCTGGGAAATTGGCCAAAAACACTTAAACGTGACCGATCGAAATTTCACTTTAAATATATATATTTAGTATGCAAGAAATTTCCGGATGGAAAATGTGAAAAATGGTAATGATAATGGCTATTAAATTTTATAATTTTTGATATCCTACAAAAATTTCAGTTTATATAAGAAATAATTTTGTGGATTTTTTACATTCCTTAAACTTATTTTTCCTTACTGTAACGCCTTTTCTTTGATAAAATGCCAACCGACAGAATTCCCAGAACTTCCCTAAGACAATATGTTTGGCCCCAAAAAGTCTACGTTTTACTAAACTATTTTTCCCAACCAATTCTCTTACGTCAAAGTTTCTCCTTTTTTCATATCACTTATCGGAAATGGAAGTTTGGCTTTATCAGCTGCGCAGCCTCACCAGTTAGCTAGCCCAAAAAATATCTACGAAACGCCCAGCATGAAAACCCTATAAACACCTATGGCAATACTTGTTTCCAGTTAAGCAATTCGAGAAGGCATGGGAAAAGCAGAGGTCGGAAACTTTATCTAAATGCTGGCGCTTATCAGGCGGACAAGGTGCTAGGGGCGGGGTTCAGGTGAATGGAAAGGGAATGGAAATTGGAATGAGAATGAGAAGAAGTGAGCAAGAGGAGAGGGCGCAGCATAAGAATTTATGAGTCACACGGTGAAAGATGGAAAGAGATGCTGCTTGGGCACTGAGAAAAATTATAGGATTTTTGTTATTAATTATAATTACTAAAATTTATAAAATTTATAATTAATATTTGAAATTAAATCATTAAATCTCTTTCAAAAGTATTTTACAAACAATGTTTATTATTAACACTTTAAAATCTATTAACTTTATGAAGTTATTTAAATGCAAATTTTACGACCATTCAAAAGATTATATTCATCATTATTTCGAGTGCATTCGATATTGGAAGCCAAAAAGGGGGAGGGGGAGGAGAACCATTGGGAAGTAAAAGGTTCACATAAAAATGCCGACAGAGAATAAAAATCCTGAACTGCATAATTTAAACGATTTCAATGACACCTTGATTAATATCAAAGACAACACAAAAGGGAACTCGAGAACTGACCACTCTACCTGTTGGCCATCCTCGTCTCCACCCCTCATCGCTCCCCTCCTTCCCTTCTGCATTTCCATGAAATTATGAACGAAACGCAACGCGCAATGCATTTGACCAAAAGATAAAGAATAAGGAAAACATACTAGTATGTCTGGATATGTATGTGAGAGGGAAAAAACCAATCAGGCAACGTTGAAAACCAAAAATAAACAAAGGCAGGGCGCAGGGCAGGTAAAGGGCCAAAGGAAAAGGGCATGGTGGGGGTAGGGGGAAGGGGGCAAAAGGGCAGAGGCTGCAACAGTTTACCTGGCAACAAATCAAACAAAGAGCGAGAAAGAGCAAGAAAATGAGATAAAGCAGCGAAGAGAAGGCTGCGCAACTTATTGCAATTAAGCGTGATTAATTCAGGATTTATACAAATTAACTAAAACCCACAGGCGATCGTGGTTGAGACTAGGTCCTCCTTTATCCCCCTCCACTACCTTCTCCGCCTTTCCACCTCATCCAACGATGTGTAAAAGCGGTGTGACAACATTTTTGCTCTTACACTAGCCAAAGAGCCTTTCAATGGGTCCCACAGTAAATTTTCTACATAGCGAAATTTGAAGTTGAATATCAATATAATTCCCTAAGAACTAGAATATTTTTGGCAATATCTAACCTGACAAAATCTTAGTTCAACTTGAAAAGAAGAATTAACTCAAATAACTTTATAACCCCGTTTATGTTAAAGAATCTCCACTGTATAACTGCTCTCATCTGGTTTTATTTTCTTTTTTTTTTTTTTTTTGTTCATCAAAAAGGAATTTCTTGAGATTTTTCGTTGCGGCTGCTTCTGCCTTTTGGACTGGTCTTGGAAACTGGAACCCTTTTCCTCCCCAGAAGGGGCAAGAAGGATGGAAAGGGGACCAGGAATGAGGGCCACGATGAGCAGGCGACGCATGCGCCAAGATCTCTGGGATGGACACGCTCTCCGCGATGGACTCTCTCTTATTTAGAGCCTACCTTGCGCTGCTGCTGCTGCTGCTCATTCGCATTTCGAGTTGATTTGCCTGGAATTTTATTTCCTTCAAGGGGTAAGGAGATACTGGGAGGAAAGAGGAAATCTTAAGACGCGTCCAAGGAGCAGAATGAATCATGGAATCGCCCAATTTGAAAGCGAGTTCTCTTTGTTCCTTTGTGATTCTCGCGTTTCAGATTTACCAATGTTATGAAATGTTGTATTTATTTATTCATTAATTGGTTAATATTATAAGAAGTAGTTCATAAAAATACTTTTATTTACTTTTTTGCATTTTAACTTAACGTTTTATCTTGCTAATATATAATTGTTATTAACTTTGAATTAGCATATTCTATCATTTTAATTACCTACATTTTGTAAGTTTTAATTTAGTTTCCTTTCCTTCTAAGTTGTTTGCCATATTTGCACTACTAGTGACAGCTCATCAAATATTTTCCCACTTTGATCAATGCAAAGACCCCGTTTTTCTTATCACATCTAATTAAAATTTGTACTATTTTATTGACAGCTCTTATTGGCTCAATAAGAGAAAATAAGCCAATAAAAAAATGAAAACTGAGGATAAATGTTCAGAAACTAGATCTTATGCTATTTTAAGATTTTTTAGAAGTTAATGAGGGATAGAAAATTAGAAATTATTCCTCACTAAAATTGCTATATTAAGGTTCTAATTATCTGAACTACAAGGAAGATATAATATTCCTATTGTGAGATATATTATAAAATGGAAATCCTTTTAGATTCTACTTAATTTTAATTATTTATTTAAATTATAATATCAAACTTACCGTTACTGGGTTTTTGGGGTATATCGATGACATCGATTCCTCTCGCCTGGAAAATATGCGTCACAGCACTGCAGTTTGGACTGAATTGATCAATGATCGATGATCCTGCCACACCTCCCGCTGGATTGGGGGCAGCAAGGGCGGCAACTTGAGGTGTAGCGCCATTCTCTGCTCGAACAATGGGTGGAAAGTGGGTGGTGAGCAGTAATAGAAGACTGCTAAATATCACAAGGCGGGCAGTTGATGTTGCTGTTGTTGTTGCTTTTCTTCTGCAATGCAGATTTTGTTGTTGCTGTAGCTGTTGCATTTTGATAACTCTGATTAACTCTCTTTTTTTTTTTGAAATAGAAAGAGAGAGCGAGAGGCAGGTAATTTCGCCGGCTTTTGTTGTTGTTGCTTGGCTTCGATTAGACTTCGATTTTATATTTGGTTCTGTTTGTTCTTTTTGCGGTAAATATTTTCGGCAAACTCAAAGGCACCCACACAAAAGCCCGCACACTAATACACCGCTTTGTTTGCCGGCATTCTTATGATTTTTGTGTTGTTATTTTTATTATTTTTGTCGTTTGCGTTTATCAGTGTGCATTTTGCGTTTAGAAGCAATTAAAGTGCAACATGGCCGTTGGGTGTTATTAAATCGGGATTATAAACAATTAACAAATAGCGGCACACGCACTGCACACACACTTAACCACTCCCACCAACACAAACACACACCCGCGACGACGAAAGCAAAGCGAAAAACGCAGGAAGAAGCAGCACAGCGTGTGCTCGCGAGTCGGCTGAGAAATTTTGACTGAGGAGGAATCTCTTTGAATTTCGACTGCCGGTCATTGATGATGTCTGCGCCTATCGATTATCGATAGTTCCCTTTTGCCCTAGACGCGTTAGTGCATAATCTTCACTGGACAGTGATCTCTCTTACTATACGAATAATGTTCGTAGAATTTTCTTAAAATCTAGTTGGTCTTAATTAATAATTGGTGTATTCGCTTTTTAATTTAATTTAACACATACACAACTAATAATGTCGTATATAATACGCCATCAAGGATTTTAAGTTTGTGTATAAATTTAAATTGAGGTTTCCTTTTTTAAGAACAAGAAATTCAAAGAAATTCAAAATGTCATATACGTTTCTTATGATTATTTATATTATATAAGCTCAGCTTTTTTAATTTTGTGTTATTATCTGCTAATTTATGTTAGAGTAGCAGTGGGAATAGCTTAAAAATTACTGTGTACTGTGGGCTATCGATTAAGAATCAGAACGTGGTCCCTATCGATTGCCTTTGCCATCACTAGCTTGCCGCATTGTCCATCCCTAGACCAGCTGTTTTGGCGGCAACGAGTTTTGACCTGAAAGCAAATAATGTTTATTTAAATAAAACGCAGTTTAAGTAACGGCCCAAGAATGACACAGGAAAGTACGGTCCATGAGGCGCTGAAAAAGCATTTCGGCCACTCAAAATTCAAATCGGAGCTGCAGGAAAGAGCCGTTAAGTGTGCTGTAAAAAGTGAATATGGGCCAAATTCTTACCCAATCTCCCATATAATAGATCTCGTAATTACCTTACAGAAAAGCAGGATGTGTATGTGTCGATGCCCACAGGTTCGGGGAAATCCTTGTGCTTTCAATTGCCCGGGATGATGTCCGAGAATCAAATAACCATTGTCTTCTCACCGCTTTTGGCCTTGATCAAGGATCAGATAGATCATTTGACCAAACTGAAAGTGCCAGCGGACTCTTTGAACTCGAAAATGACCACCAAAGAAAGAGATCGTGTTATTATGGATTTAAAGGCCGTTAAAACAAATCTTAAGTTTCTCTACATCACACCGGAGCAGGCGGCCACCAAGTTTTTCCAGGAACTGCTCCAAACCCTCCATAAACACAAAAAGCTTGCCTACTTTGCGGTTGACGAGGCTCATTGTGTTAGCCAATGGGGTCATGACTTTCGACCAGATTACCTGAAACTTGGAGAACTACGTTCCAAATATCAGGACATCACCTGGTTGGCTCTGACTGCGACAGCGTCGAAGGAAGTGAAGGAGGATATATACAAGCAGTTGCATCTACACCATCCTGTGGCTCAATTTAGCACTCCTAGCTTTAGAAAAAACCTTTTCTACGACATTGTGTACAAAAACTCCATTGAAGATGACTTCCAGCACTTGGCAGACTTTGCGAGACACTGTCTGGGTGATCACAAAGAATTTAAGGAGCAACCAAAGCCACAAAGAGGTTGCGGAATTGTCTATTGCCGGACTCGCGATCAGGTAGAACGAATGGCTATCGGAGTTACCAAACAGGGAATCGCAGCTGTGGCCTATCATGCTGGTCTGAAGACGGGGGAACGCACCGAAGTACAAGAAGCCTGGATGAGGGGTGATAAGCCCATTATATGTGCCACCAATAGCTTCGGCATGGGTGTGGATAAGCCAAGTGTGCGTTTCGTAATCCATTGGGATGTACCGCAAAATGTTGCTGCCTATTATCAGGAATCTGGTCGCGCTGGACGCGATGGTTTGCAGTCTTATTGTAGATTATATTATGGCCGTGAAGACGTCAAGAGTATACGGTTCCTGCTCCAGAACGATGCCCAAAGGGCAAAAGGTCGTGGTGATAAGGAATTACTGACAGAGAGAGCTGTAAAACAGTTTGAAAAGATCACTGAATTCTGTGAGCGGACAAGCTGCAGGCATAAACTTTTTTCTGACTTCTTTGGGGATCCGGCTCCAGATTGTAATGGCCAATGCGATGTCTGCAAACGTCCCAAAAAAGCAGAAAAGGCGCTGGAAATGTTCCATCGATTGTGTATGGATGATACATTTAAGTCGCACATTTCGCTTGTCCAAGATTGTTCAGACTTATATGAAGGTAAGTAATAGCAAATTATTTTTTTAATCTTAGAGAGTATTGTTAACTTATTCTTACAGGTGGTCGCCCTGGAATCAAGCGTGCTGCGCAGGAATACGCAGCTGGTGAATCTGATTCAGATGGCGATTCCAGTCAGAGTCATTCTTCCATGGCTAAGAAAGCCAAACGGGAATCGGAGGACTTTATAAAGCAACAGTTTAAGTTAAGAAAACAAATCAGCGCAGCTCGAAAATTAGAACAAGAGACTTCAGCACAAATCTCTCGGATTAGACAAGCGGAAGCAACTGAAAAGAAAATCGCTGGACTGCAGTCCACTCATCGGGAGAAATATCTAACAGCCATAATCGATGCACTAAAAGCCAATGTAGATAAGTGTAAGGATGAGCCAGAGCAGCAGCCAAAAAGTGTACTGAAATATAATGACTATGAAGCGATAGCAGTGGATATGGAATACGACGTTTTCCGACAACATAAAGTGGCCAATATGTACCGACATGCCTTAGTCAAAGAGGTTTGGAACACTATTTGCCATTAAATATAAATATCTTAATAAATTTATTTTCGTAATAGATTTCCATCATTAAACAACTCACTGGAAAGACGCAATTGCTGCCTCTTTTGTTGGATTACGTTCCGAAACCAGAAACGAGTTCCAAAGGCGCCTGGACTGGCGGCAGTGTGGCCTACTTTGAGCGGAAACTCAAAGAACTGGAGGAACAGAGACCACAGAGTCTCAAGGAGGTGCCAAAAGCCTTAAAAGAAAAAAGGGGATTCAAGCAGGAAAGCAGCAAACAGACTTCCATTTCCTCCTTTTTCAAAAAAGAGGTTAAAGAGGAACCATCCGAATCCTCAAATGAAGAAGAAAGTGTAACTATTAAAAAGGAACCTGCAGAAGCTGAAATGGATATAGAAGAGAAAGACACTAAAGAAACTTCTCCCAATCCCATTAAAGATGAACCCATGGATCAAGATAGTACTGATCCTGAACTGGATCTTCAGCCTGACAGCATAATTGGTGAAAGAAAGTTCAAATTGATGCCGAATGGCGATGGCAGTTACGACACCCATCGCAGAAAAAGAGTTTCCCATCAACACCAACCCAAAGAGAAAGAATCAAAAACCACAACGTCCAGCATGCAACATCTTTTTGGTTCCTTCAAAAGTGAATCTGAAGAGGAGTCGGATCAAGCTTCTTTTGGTTTTAAAACTGCTCGTCAAATGCTGGATGAAAAACAGGAGAAACTAGGCAGCATAACTGAGGAAGTAGGTTCTAAGGATGATAAGTCAGAAAACAAAACTGAAGCCATTGGATTTATTTCTGCAAGAGAATTGTTGGACAAAAACAAACTTAAGGAAGAGGAGAAGAAGGTAGAGAAGTCGAGTAACAAATCTGAAACACTAGGTTTCATTTCAGCCAGAGAAATGTTGGAAAAGAATAAACTTAAGGAAAAGAGTGTGGACAAAACAGATATTAAAGAAAACAAACTAGAAAGTAAGGAACCCAAAGGAAAACATCACGATGACAAAATAAACTTTGAAAAGAAAGAAGAACATGACAGGAAGTCGGAAAAAGAAATGCCAAAAGAGGCAAAATCAGACAAAGATAGAATCAAAGATTTGAAACCTAGCAGAGGTGAGCCCAAAGAATCAGAGAGGCACCTTAAAGATATATCATCGCGAAGAAAAGACTCAAAGGAGGCCTCTTTAGACTCGAAAAAGGAAAGGGATCCAACTTCTACAGACCCGTCATCACAGAAGAAAGATTCTAAAGAATCCAATTCAAAGAGAAGTTTGCAAAAGGACGCAAAGCCAGAGAAGAACCAGCAAAAGAACGATGTGAGCAAAAATGTGGTGCAGTGGCTTAATCCCTACTATAAACGGAAAATAGCCACCAAAGAGCTTTTCAAAGCCCTGGCCAAACTGCTCACTCAGAGGATTTGTGATGGAAGTTTGGGTAAGACTTAGAAACTATATTAAAATACCCATTAAATTAATTATTAACTTCTAGGTAACGGCGATGCTGGAAAGTGCTACATTAAGGAGACCTTCCATGGCCTGCAGATGATCAACAACGATCAGGACATTGAGAAATATTTCATCAAGTCAAAGTGACTTCGAAGAACTCTCTCCACCAGACGCATGATTTCATCACAACGAATTGTTTCGCCTTGTTAACAGTTAAAGAATCTTTTTTTTTCGTTAATATTTTCAACATGTAATATAATAAGTACCTAAATTATCAACAATACATTAAAAAAAATAAGATAATTTTTATTCTGGACAATTTCAATAGAAAATAGAAAGTTAACTTCTTCGATTTGTGAAAATATTCGCTCGTACAAAATTTATTTTGTGTTTGGATCTTACTTATTAATTGGATTAGATAAAACGTTCGTGATGCTCGATGTATTTAGGCTTAAAAAAAGAAAAACAAAAACAGGGCAGCCGATGCGTTAAGAACTTTAAAACCTCCTCGGACTTCGTTTCTTTTTTTTTTTTTTTTACATTTTCGATTTGATGATGGCAATTCAGATGTTTTCTCTTGGGGATTACAATTAGCTGGGAGACGGGGATGTGAACGGGGAGTTCTTAACTCTAAGTCTGGAGCTATAAATATTACAGTCCACGCTAGGCGAGAATCATGTGGACACCAACTCTTTCCCGCCAAACTTCTCGTCATCGACCATGTCATTCCAGATCACCATGGACGCCAAAACGAATGGTAATGAGTATGTCCAGCAGGAAGATCAGCGAAGTCACCAAGGCAATCGAAGCGGAAGCCATTACGAGATCCAAGCGATGCATATTCGGGTGCCAGTAGTTGCGATCCTTGGTGGTGGACCAATCCCGGAAGAGCAGTGCAGTCACGGCCACAAAGAGGATGAAGGCCACCAGGTTCCACAGAGTAGCCGTTCGCCAGGGGGTCCTATTGGTAAAATATAGTTTTTATTGCTAAGAATTTATTAAAGTTTTGGTTTCTTTTTTTATACTTACAGATCACCAAAGAGCGCCATTATCAGATAAATTGCCGTGTAAATGGTCAGGGCACCAAAGGTCACATAGCAAAGGGCAGCCACTCGGGGTGTGATGAACACCCGCAGATGAGAATTGGTGGCCGGCTCATCGACCAGGCCCAGGCAGCATATTAAAAGGCACTGTTGGGAATCATATAGATATATATTTTATGTATATAAAATGTAGGAAATAAGTAAGGAAAATATGTTTAAAGACTCAGATTTAAACCCATAAGAAAAACAAAGTCTTAGAGGAAAAAAATTATTTCAAAACTGAAAAAGGATTATATAATTTAAAATTTTGGATATATTTTCCTACTTAAAATTAATAATATATAAGAATAACTTACCAGCTCCACAATCTTGATGCATATCAGCGTGTAGGTGGCCTTTTTGCTGCTTTGGGTTGTGGCAAAGGAATTATCGTCAGCCGGCGACATTTCGACGCGTGAGATTTCTGCACCAAACAAATTAAACAATTAATTAATTAATTAAATAAGAAAATCGTTTCAATTGATATTTTGGCCTCTTTGGCATTTGCTCGAAGCGAAGATACATTATATATTTTGTATATATACCTATCGATCGCAAGTAACTCATTTTGCTGAGTCTGAGTTGGAAACGTTCTCGACCTACAGAGGAAACGGAATCTTCAATTTTGGTTCTTTCTTTTTTTTTTTTTAGTGTTCAGGTAAAGTCGGGCTTAATGGCCATATTTGGCCTACGGACTCTGGGTTATAGGAAATTTGTTATTGGATGCTCAATGGAGCGTGCAAAACAAGTTAAACTGAACAAACTAAAATACTGTTTGTGGATTTGTGTCAATTGATGGCCGAAGGTCTCCCACATGAAATACTCTCGTACTCGTACATATCCAGTTGCAGACCAAATTGATTAAGGGCACATTCTGCGATGATCTCATCTAATTGGGTGTGTGTGTGGGAATATTTGGGTGGGGTTCTATAGAACTACGTCCATATGGAAGTTGCCAAGATGCATACCAAATTCAACCTGGGAATGCGAGCAGCCTACGTGAGTTTGCATCAAAAAAGTCTTATGAATAATAAAACTAAAACCCAACTATAATCGCCGTCTTGCTAGCCTTCATCTATAATTCCATTATTCTCAGCCAATAATTACATGCCGACAGAGAGGTTACTCCCTTGCAATTGTCACCTCTTTCAGACCTTATTGAACACCTATATAGAGTAATTTGTTGTAGTTATACACTGGAAAAAGGCAGACTAATTGGAAGAAGATCATTTCTGAGATACACCTACTATGTGTTTTGCACTATGGAAACTGGAAAGAGCAAATTCTGATGATCTCTATTAAGTTGAAAATGGTTTTATAAATAGAATCACGTCTTTTGAGATTTGTGTGATCTGTGTTCTCTTAAATAAGTTAAGAAAATAATGGTTTTTGTCTATTGTGATATCAAAATGAGAACTAGAACTTATAAATTGATTTGCTTTGTTGTCAAAAATTGCTAACATATTGATATCTTTAACTGATTGGGGGAAATAAATCCTTAATTGAGTCTTCTCAATCTTCATTTTTAGGATCTTTAGGTATTAAAATATGGCAAGTCCAAAAAAAGGTTGTGGTATCTAAACTCTTCAAACTTTCTACTTCAACTTCCTCTGAGATTCCATTAACTTTCTTGATTATTGTGTTCTGTGTAGAAATGTGGGAAATTGGATCGCCACTTCATAACCAACAATGGAATCGCTCCATGGCTCTGTTCTGTGGTCGGTTCCCCTCATTGATTGAAGCTAATTGCATCACACAGAGAACAAAGCATAAAAGCCCAAAATTAGCCAAAGGCACGTACAATAAAAAAGAGAGTGGGTGGGGGTGAAGGACTGTGCTAGTTAACCCCGCAATGCGTAACCCCATAAACAACAATTAAAATGCAAGTGGAAAACCGGAAAAAATAAGTCAAACTCGAAATGAAACTGGAAACTCAACTCAAAAACCCTAAAAAAAAGGTCACGCATAACTTTCACTGCGTGAGAGGTGGGGGAAAAAGGTAAAAGGGTGGGAAAAAGGGAATGAGATATACAGAGGAATGAAAAGAGAAAGATAGTAGGGTCTCAAGACACTCCCTTTTTGTAGAGCGATGGCTTGGAGTTAATAAACATTTTAGTGTCTAGGTTCTGGTTGCAAAGGTAAACAACAAATAGGTAAAGGAAACTCCCACTAATTGAGGTACAGTGGAACGAAACTAACTTTATGTGTTAATCAGTACATAGCTTTTCTTTCTTAAAGCATTATCTTTTACTATAAGGACTTGCCTTCTAACAAAACTAAAGCTAAACTAATTTAATTTAACAATTTTTAAGTTTCCAAAACCTAGCATTACACCTTACTAATTCCCCTTAAAACCTCCTTATCTCCATCATGAAATCTCTTCACTAATTTTCGGGTTTACGGCTCCCTAAGATTGGAATTTCAGTGGTTAACTGTTTGCGTGTTGTTGCTAACGAGTGCTTCACGTTTTGGCCCACACTCGAACACCCCGCACCACCCCTATGAACCAAAAAATATAAAACAAGTTTTCTTTCGGCGGCGCTTAGAAGAAGAAAGCCCAAAAAGCAGAAACCAAACAAAACACGCGCAACAAGCCACGAAGCACGAAAAAAAAGGTAAACAAAACGTATTGGCCAAGAAAACTTGTTTTTAGAAAAAAGAGAACTTGGCTTAAAGAGCAAAGCTAAGAGAAATAGCGTGCGTCTACCTGCCACACCTGCGTATTTTAGAGAGGATTTTTTCTCTCAAGAGCTGGGCCTAACTTATTGGCCAACACTGTGAATTAACCTCGTTTCGCTTTCAGGCTCAAAAAGGGACTTTTTTTTTTGTAGTAATATTTAAGCAGCCCTATAACTGGTCTGTGTTTTGGGTCAATGACTTTGTTGTTGTTCTCTCTTCTCGGTTTTTGTTTTGGTTCTTGGTTTCTATCTTAAGTATTTGCTTAAGCCTTACCCACTAGCTAGCTAGCCAAGCTAAATTAAGTCTGATTTGCAATTTCCTGTAAACCGAAGATCTTAAGAGAACTTTCATCTTTGTTTCTCATCTTTCAATCGCAGTCTTGGCCAATTGAAAAACGCAACAAAACTTGTTTTCTTTTTTTGTAGCCCCTTTCGCTTCCCTTTTGTTGGCCCCTCGGGCGTTTTTGCCTCCCCCTCAGACTTGCATTGATATGCACAACTGCAAACTGGTTGCAGGCGCGAGAGCAACGTAGACGGCCAATGGGGGAGTGAGAGGGCAGCACATGCTTATATTTGTACAAGGCGCCTACTGTACTTGGTCATCGTCTCGGTTTTTACTCCCCTCGAAGGGCGGGTTGCGATTTTCCAGCTGCATTTTCCACACATGGGTATTAGTTAAGTTGGAACGTATTTGTTTTACTAAGAAGAATTACACTTTTTAGGGATTTTTATCAACTCAAATACTGGGAATATCTTTAAGTTCCTGTCTTTAATTACAATTTAGTTCTTTAGCACTAACTTTTAGGAATATAATAATATATCATTGTCTATCTAGTGTCTAAATTATCTAGTTTATGACCTATCTTAAAAAAATGTATACAAGGTAATTAGAAAACCCTTTAAATGGGTATCTTCAAGCCTCATAACTCAACCACACACCTGCTCTTTTTTGCAAATATTTTCCATATTCTTGATAATAGTTACTACAGTTTTTGCTTTTGACCCCATTCAGACCCACACTGCCGAGTTGGCTGTTAGCTTAGACTTTGTTTTAGCCCTCTCTAAACATGCAACATTTTGCAGCCAGGGATTCCATGGGGGTAGTTACTGTTTTGGTGGAGTTTTCTAGGCGACTCTTTCTCTTGGGGGTTGTTGGCAAATTCAATGCCAAACCAATTGGCCAAGGCTCGTCGGGATTTACCAAAGGTATACTGGGGTTACTGTCACTGTTATTGTTTCGTGTCGGGCCTGTCACTGAAGGTCAGTGTCTATAGGGAGAGGGATATTGGTAATGGATTGACAAGGGTTCAGCTCCACCCCAGAGGGGATATTTCTGCGCGTGAAACCTATAATTGAGTGTTTATATAAACAAAGTGAGCTTTTGGGATTGGGTTTCCCTTTTTGGCAGATTTTTGAGACAAGAATTTTTGAATAACTAATGATTTTTAAAAATATTTTAATGAATTTAAGCAAAGTTTGCTTTTTTGTATGAAAAGTTTTTAAAGGTATTAATCAAATTAGGTTATTTCTTTATATTTAATGATTACTTTTAGAAGTTTTTTATAGAAAATCTTGTAAATTATAAAGATTTTTTGACTGAGAATGTAGTCATAATTACTTTAAATTGTTAAATAGACATTTTAACCCTTAATTTGTTTATTTTAAAGGCCACTAAATTGTTTTCAAAGTTGAAAAAAGTTATATCATTGCATAAAACGCAGTATTTGTCACCTAATTAAAGCTGCAATTAAGGGGAGGGGTCGCTTTGATGGTGAGAAAATCAGTCAGTGAGTCACATTAAACAAACTAATTTGTGTTAGCCAGTGTTGTTGTACTCTCTGTGTACTCTCTATTTGTGTGTAAAATTGTGCAAAATTAGCATGTCTAACAATAACAACAAAGAACTGTGATCGTCTTGCTGATGTAGTTGTTGTTGTTGTTGTATCTGGGCTTGTTTATTGTACAATTAGCTCTGGGTGGGGCCCTCCGATCTCACAGACTCCACTTTATATCGAGAGATCGTCGGCGGAGAATCGAAACTTAAGTTTTTCTTTAAGTACGTTGGAGTGCATTTTCAACTCTTTTACAAATTTTGTTACTGCCGAGCAAACGACAAACTGGTTTTAAAGTTTAACTCTTAATTTTGTTTAGTTTTTATGGTGGGTTATTTGTATTACATTTTTCAAATTTTCGTTGCTTTTGCAGAGAGAGAGAGAGGAAGGTGCAGGGCAAAAGTGCAGCCAAGGGTTAGCTTGTTGGTTAAATCTCACACTAAAAACACAAATAAATTAATACAATTTTTCACGCGCGCTAGATTGTTTTTTTTTTATGTACTAATCACTTTCAACTGCGACTTAGAGCGGATATTGAGTTTTTCGAAAGCCGAGTTTTTCAAAAAACCTCTGAAACCGACGACACGCCAACGACAACTGTTGTAACCTGAAACCAAAACCGAAACCAAACCGTTCCAAAGCCCGCCAAACGAGCTAATATAGCCACAGCCCCAAGAAGCAGAGAGCAGTTCGGAGAACTAATAGGTTAAGAGAATGTCAGTTAGGTGCTAAGAGTGCCCCTAAGAGAGTATATGAAACGTGTTCGTTTTCAACTGTTTTTAAATGCTAACCAAATATTGAGTAATTTTATGGTGACATCAAAATTAGCACATTCCTGTCATGCTAACAAAGGAATATTATTTTGTTTGTTGTTTAAACTTCAAATGCTCTATTGAATTTGTTAGGAAAAACGAAGCATTTTTAAAAGGGAATTTTTAAACTTACCATGCTTAGTGAGACGCGACTGTAAGCAACTTTTATGGAATTTCCCTTTTGTGATAGTATAGACACAAACCAAAACAAGGAAGCTTGACTAAAAAGGGATCTTAAAGGAATATTTGAAAAATGTAAGGAAGTTGATTATTAAGGTTATATTAAATTGTTAACACAATATGACTTAGAGGTGAATAATATCTATGAAAAAAGAAATTAATAAAAATACTATAAATAGAGGAACAGTAGAAGAAACTTCCCCTAACATACCCTTAAAATAAAACACACTACCTTACTTCGTTTTTAACTTTTTGATTTTTGTTTAATTTCAATTCATTTCATTTGAATATTATATTTCTTTTAACAAAAATATTCACAGATATAGAGATGAAATAAAAACGCTTGCTTGGGCAGTAGAAACACTTGAATAAATACAATTAAAATTAAACTGTACACAAGATGAGTGTTCAATTTTCAAAACTATGTACAAAAAACGGTGTGTGTAAACTTGTTAAAATCATGAAAAACAAAACTTAAACACAGTCTTTCCTCAAAAAACAATTGCTGCTACTTAAATGCTAAAACTAAACAATAATTATAAGATTAATCGTTATCTACATGGGTAATTACAACAAAACATGACATTTTTTTTTACATCTACATTACATCCAGTCAGCATAAATTTGTAAAATTATTTTAATTGGTTGTTTTTGCTTTTCATTTTGATTGCTTCACAGGACTAGGCTGCTGATGCTGGGTCATCAGGGACAAAGGATATACATATGTCACGAATCCTAATAATATTTTACATTAATTTCACTTAATGGTTCAGTTCTTAGCTATTTTAGTTGTATTTGATACAAAACGCCTGAGCTTAGGCAGTGTTTGGGGGTCAGTTTTCTATCAGATCAGAAAACCCTATCACTCAGTTTTAGGCTGAGTGGAGTTTTGGGAGCCAGCAGGAACTCAAATTCTGTTTCCAAAGGCTTCACAAAGCTCACCTCGAAGGCCAGGACCATCTGTGAAAAATAGTTGATTTATCAAATTATAGTTCCTGATCTTGGTTTATAGATTATTACCTTAGCTAGCAGCAGCACCACTTCCATTTCCACGAAACGTTTTCCCGGACAGGATCTTCGACCCACTCCGAAGGGCACTACAATACTGGCACTGTCCACATTCACTGTGAAATTCTCCGTGGCAGGATCAATCCATCGCTCTGGACTAAACTGCTTGGCTCCTTGGAAATTGCTGTCCTTGTGGCAGGCTATCATGTTCTGACAGAGCACCACGGTCTAAGGATTAGAAATATGAAAGGAAATATTATTTAAAAAAAAAAAAAAAAACTAACTAACTTTGAACTCACCCCTGCATTTAGCGAGTAACCCGAAAGCTCCATGTCCTCCTCCAAAATTCTGGCCAGACAAAACGCCGTAGGCCTCAGTCTGTAGGACTCCTGTATACAGGCCTTCGTGTATGTGGCATTCGTCAGAGCATCCTGCAGGATATTCGTATCCCGATACTCACAGAATTCACTCAGGATACGAGGCATAGCCCCAGGATCCCCAGTAACAGAACTCAGCACGAACAGCAAGGTGTTGGCTAACTGGAAAATCAAAATAAGTTAAAGGAAAACCCATCAAAAGTAACAACCGTAGACCCACCGTTTCTATGCCCGCGGCTATAAAGTCTATAATAGCCGATTTCTTGTCTCTTATATCCAGATCCTTGAGCTCCAGAATATTAAGGAAGATACTCCGCAAACCAGCTGCCTCGTCATCCTCACAGGCAGCCGACTTTTTGAGTTCCTCCAACTCGTGATCGATGATCTCGGATATCACACTGGATTAAGATCGTATTTGAGTTAGATGGGAATAGAATGGTAGTCAAAGATAGGTGTGTACCTACTCATAGATCAAGTCCTCGGCCCGGGCGAACTCCCTGTAGGTCTTGGTGGGAAAATATTTCCACAGACCCAAACCGTAGTACGAGTCCCTTTGAGAGATGAAAAGCTGTTTGACAGCTGCGGCAAGTTGGCTGATTTTCTGTGGCTGTTTGGTATCCACAGCCAGGAAACCCATCCGCCTGCCCAACATCAAAGTGCAGACGGCCTCCAGACCCATTAGATTGGCTAGCTCCTCGAAATTGGGTACCACCAGGGTCTCAGGATCTCGTCTAGCTCGCAGTAGTTCGATGAAATCATCACAAACTGCATTCAAGGCTGGCAGGAAATTCTGTAGGACCCTGGGAGAAGTAATGCTGGAGGTCAGGGAGGATCGCAAACGCTGCCACATTGGTCCCTGTTCGTTGACAATTCCCACACTCGCATAACGATCCGGTCGGGATTGACGATACATCACGATGATCTCGGTGGGAGGTCGGAATGGATACTTGCTGGGGTATTTCAGCACCTTTTCCAGATCCTCGCGATTGTACAGGTGCACGATGGGCACATTGGAGGGCATTACCTCTAGTACTATGTCACCATATTGCCTGTTGAGATCTGGAATATAGGATTTCAATGGCTTATGATGGAGGTAATAACCATAAGTGTAGGTTTCTAATGTGAAAACCCTTTAAATTTGGAAAACTATATCTTGATCCCAGAATTCGCTATAAGTTCTTTCTTAACTAGAGGGATTAGTTTCCCTAGAGAATGTCTTACCCGCATATACCTCGTGCAGCTTGGTCATCTTGTAGCGGCGAAAGAAGAGCAAGAATATCCATTTAGTGCCCAGAAAGGGAATCCTCTGCGGCCCAGGAATATCCCAGATGCCACGTTTTCGCTTCCTAGGAGCCTCCGGTTCAATGGGCGCAGCATGATAGCAATCCTCCAGCGGCGTATTCTTTAAAAGCGGCCGTAGATAGATCTCTGCCAATTTGTGCCGATGGAGAGCACAGTAGCAGCCGAGTACAAGTGCCAGGGCCAGCAACAGTATCACGGCCATTACCATGGGGCGCTGCAATTAGAATTCTCCGTCTTACTGACTTAATCCACATTCAATAACACTTATGCTAATTTGGCCCAAAACGATTCTAGGCCTTTAATTGCAGTCTGGCCTTTCGTTTCGACTTGCTGCCAAACAACCGGTCGACTAATTCGTTTTTGGCTTTATATAGCTTTTTGTTTTCGGGGTGCCCAGTATATATATATATATTGATCATTGATTTTGCATTATAATTGCCGATAACACTTTGTTCTGGGTTCTACGTTTCTCTGGTTTGATTTCTTTGGTTTTTTGGCTATTCTGCAAGGCAAATGTCTGGCTAAAAAGAAACACGCTTTATGGGTTTTCACGGTAGATAAGATAATAACGACCAGGTGTGATAAAGTTCAAGGTTAATACCCCAAAAAATTTGTGTAATGAGGGTATTGCGAATTTCGCAAGATTGCAAAATGTCTGATTAATTTATTTATCAAAAAAATTTAACAGACTTTTCTTTGTGTAATTTATTATAATATTAACCTGATCACAACTCTCTCTATTTTAATATTCTTTCTAACTTTTTTGACATCTAGTTAGCATGTTGAGTTAATGTTGAGTTAATTAATTCTTCTTCAAACGTGTTCCGAAAATAATTATTAACATATTAATTAGCAAGAATAAAAGTGTTAGATTGTTAGAAAAAACTTTTAATACAAAGAATAATATTCCTAAAACCTGAAACGAAAGTTAAGCTAATAGAAGAAAAAGACCACAAATCTTGGCCTACCCTAACCAATAACATTTTAAACCTATTCATATCAGAAATAGGTTCTTAAAATCTCTTAACAGGCAAGTCAAGGGAAAGTCAACACAATCTCTAGACTTTCTTATTGGTTTAATTTCTTCGAATAAGAAAGAACAATCCTATTAGACCCTTCCCATCCCCATCGTTTTTTAGTTTTCCTATTGCCAACCGGATATAAAAATCTATAAAAATAAGCTAGAAAACGATTTAAAACTCACAGGGGTTACCTGCTCGAAGTGATTAATGAATGGCCAGGTCAAATACAGGAAAAAACCGAAGAGAATCAAGAAACCACTGATAGATGATCGATTCTAATATTTGCCTTAACCACACAACAGCCCAGCCACACGATCGCTTGGCAAATAAGCACGAGGAATACGAATAGGAAACCTCACGATGACTTTGGACTACCGAAAAAAAAATATGTATGGTATTTGCAAAAGAATCAGAGGGCCCAGATAAGAAGTGATTTGATTTTGGTCACAGGCACAGGCACAGTCACAGTCACAGGTAAGTAATGTCTTTATCACACGTAGTGTCGCCAAGTGGCTGGACACAATGTGGCCTGAGAAGGTGTGGCAAAAATGGCAAATCTAACCATTAATGCAAATGCGATCCAATAGGCCTGTGCAAAAATAGAAAAACACACAGAACAGAAAAGAAGAAAATAAACTGGAAATACAAATCACAGACATCTATCTGAGGCGAGCACTTCCTTCTTGGGGGGCTTAATCACTTCCTCATCTCATCAACAGATATGTGTAGCTTCTCAGCGATCGGCGACGCGTGCGCCGTTCTATGCGCTTCTCACTTTTCCAACGTGCTTAGAACAACAACAACAAACATAAACTCGCTTTTTAATAAGAATTCTTGCGAATTCTTCTCTCCTCTACTATTCTCCGGCCCCATTCTCCGGCTAACTCTCTGATTAATATGCAGATGGGATCCACTATAGCGACTCACAACTCCAATGCTGTTTCTCATCGTTAGAGTTGCGTTAGAAGAAGGCTAGAAGAAAAAAAGAAAAGGTTGGAATATAGCAGCTGGGCCAAAACCGGCTTCGAAACCAGCTCTCAGCTCCAGGCCAAAAGAAGTAGAAGAAAGCACTCAGCGGTGGGTAGAAAGCATATTATGTAACCGATTATTATGTAAAACGAGAAATGATGGGAAAGTTCTTTTACGTATTTTTTTTTTTGTTTTTCTGTTTTGATCTTGGAATTTCACAATTTCTGGCCGTCATTTCTACAGCTACCCTAATTGGGTTAAGACGCAAATAAAAATTTCGATTTTTTCCATTTCTTTCTTATTGACTATTTTTTGTTGTTATTTTTGTTCTGCTGTTATTAATGCTTTTTTGTTTACCCCAACAAAAATGACATAAAAGAAATCGAAGTTTATGGGCTCGAGAATGACGTGACTTTTTTGGTAACTTTTTTGGGTAACTTGATTTCAGATGGAAATAGGAGATTTTTAGGAAAAGTAGACTATTCTTGGTAAGAAGACATTTTAAACTAGTTTAATGACTCTTAATTTAAGGTTTTCTTAGCTTAAATCCATCTTAAAATAAGAAACTTCTAGCCTAAAACCATACCAATCCTCCTTCGAATCCCCCACCAGTTCACTTTTTCACTTTTCTTTAGCAAGGAAGCCAGCTTTTCTAATGCCTTTCTAACATAAGGCGTTTTTTTTTCTGCCGGGTTCTGGGATGGAAAGCAAGTTTGGATCTGGCTTTCTGCAAAGTGGCAAAACGGCAAAAATCTAATGAGAAAATTTCTCTATTTCTATTTGCCAGGCTTACTTTGTCGCTTGCCGGCTTGGCACGTCGTTGGCCGTACATTGAACTTGCCCAAAGCCAAACTCAAGATACACAGAAAATAAATCAGATCTAAAGATCAGATTTACATATTTTTCATAACTAAATAGTTTAAATTTGTCATCTAATTCAGAGAATCAAATAATAAAAATTAAGTTTAAGGATTGAATTGATTTGTAAATCGTTTATAGTTTTGTATAAATTGGTTTAAGTTAGTTTTATAGCCTTCCATTATTTATTCAGATTTGAATTTATATATTAATAAACATTTTCTGCCGTGTAAGTCCCTCTCTGTTAGCTCTTTTCCTACCTCTTTTTTTTGGCAAGAGAAGGAGGCAGGAAACAGCTGACCAAGGAAAGAAATTGTTAAGCCAAGTTTCCCGTTTGCCGATGGTGGCCGTGACCATGAAGCCCCAACCGATGTCTTCTGCACTCTATATGTATATATATAGATATATATATAGATATATATAGCTATATGGGCATACGAATGTGAGGGGCATAAGTGACATAATCTGCTGATGTCTGGCTCTGCGGATCGGCAAGCTTTTGAGCTGAGCTCGGGGCTTCTGTAACTGCGCAGCGGCCCAAGTTTTTGGGCAATTTTTTCGGCGGGTTCTTGATTCGTTGCGATTTGCATAAATGTGAAAAATGTGCCAATAAAAATAGCCACGAATAAATAACGAATTAAGAATCAATCGGCATATATATATAGATATATAGATGTATGTAAATTATTGACGAGAAAACCTAAACTTGTTTATTTTGCAAAAAAAATTGGTTTATTATTTTACTTATTTTTTTTGTGTCACATTTTGTGGCCTGTCGTCGGTTTTTTTGTTTTTTTTTGGTTTTTTTTTTGACAACGTGTGCAGGCCCAGTCGCACTTACGTTTAATTATTATGTTAACTCGGATTTCTTCTTCTATCCTGGCCTTTCGAGTGCCAGTTTGGACAGTCTGACGCCAAAATGTAAAAAAATATATTTTATATATATATTTGGCCCAACACCCGACATTCATTCCTGATGCCTCAGCAAAGTTCGCCAAAAATCAATCGAAATCGAATCGAAAAAGGAAGGTGAAATGTGATCGCAGAACATGTCGCAGAATGCCATCAAATTTGCGTAAAGCTCGCGTGTGGTTTCGGTTAAAAATTAAAAGGTATTTATATAACACTCAGAGGTGGTACAGATATATGTGATCTGGTACAGTGAAGCTGGCAATCTCTACTAAACTTGGCCATTTATTTGGGAACATCCTTAATAACCTCATTTTTTAACCTTTTTAAAATCAAAAAACTTTTTAAAATAGGAAAAAAGGAATTAAAATATAACAATTTTGATTCTGTATTAAAGTTATGTTTTTTTACTCTCTGCATATAAAATATATATATTTTTTAATATTTTTAAAACAAAGTTAAAGCTACAACATCCCTCGCATCACTGCCCGCAAAAACCCAACCCAGAGGCAAATGCATCATCATCGACAACGAACCGAAAGTTAATTTAATCTCTCGGTCAATGCTCGTTACATTTTGGCCAAACACCCAAAAAAAAACAATCAACTTAAAGCCAAAAAGAAAGTTCAAACGTGAAACAACGTAATCGATTGACATTCACTTGGCCAGGTATTTATTGAATTTAACAAAAAAAAAAAAAACGATATTTGCCGAGACAGATGAAATCACAACAAATGCGAAACTCCGCCAGCTGATGACGCTTTTTTTTTTTATTAATGATGATAATGAACTTGAAGCTCTCTCACATAATTGATAACAAAAGAAAATCATCGAAAAAATATATAATTTTTTTTTTACTTCTTATTGCGTTACACTTGAAAACGCTCGTGCTCGCTGATAAATATGAAATAATAATGGGCAAAAAAAATTAAATAAATAAATAAAAAATGTTATTAAGGCGGCGTAAGAAGGGAGGTAGTGGGCCGAGGGGCTAATTGCAATTTAATGCGTTTGTTTGCCGAAGTATAACACGATTTATTTTCCAAGATACACACACACACGCATAGGTACTATATATCTACAGTTTCGTATATATATCTTTTGAAGTTCGATTCAGTTTTATTTCAATCGGATTGCATTTTATGATTAACTGAGCGGCTCTGCTCATGACGTTGCGGTGGTGTACAATTTTTGGTAAATATTTAAAAACAAAAAAAACTCATTTAACATTCCAGGGAAGTGTGTAAAAAAATTAAATGAAAATTTAGTTTAAAAAGTTCTTTTGGTGACTGGTAGAAATATGAGAGCTTCGAAAGAAAGCAGCGGTTAAGATCCTTTTGATTTCCTAGAAAATTGCAACTTTTATTATTATAAATTTTAGTTTAAAAAAAAACCAATGAAAAATGTTTTAGCTTTTAGCTTTGTGTAGACTTCAAAGCAGTTTCTTAAAAGTCATAAAAATGACTAAAAAATGTCATATTTTTAAGAACTAAAATCACTAAAAATGTGTGACTTATTCAGTAATTTAAATTTTTTAAAAAGAAACTTAGATGCAGGCTAAGAAACCCCAGAAACCCTTCCCAAAACTTACCACTTAAATGTGTTTTTTCTTTTAAATCCAATAAGTTTAGATCCTCTGCAGGCTAGATCCGACTTGTTGGCATTTTGATTAGCATTACTAATGCTTTCATTATCACTTAGCCAGAATAATATTTAATAAATATTTAGATGTTGCATCACTTTTGCTTTTTACATTGCACATTTATTGTTGTTATTTATTATTTTTTAAAGCTTTAGCTAATCGTAGTTTCTGGCGAAAAACAATAGAAACTTCTAATCACAGACAGAAATTGCACTTTTGGACCCACGCTCGTTTTTTTTTTTTAGTTGGTCCGTCTATGTTTTAGTGTTCTATTTAAGTTAGTTAGTTAATTAAACACAATAATTAGATTTAAGCCTTGGCCAGGGACACTGACTATTCCGGATTGACCGAGCCCGCAACCGTATCCCAGATCTCCGATCTCCGATCTCTGATCTCCTCCGCGATCCCTGTTATGGCGTCTCTCTCTCTCTTTTGGTTGCGACAACTGCGACGCTTAGTCAAAGACTGAATCGCTCCGTTTTTTTGAATGGGGGAAATGCTGAGCCGAGCCCAACGCACACAAACATACACACACACTACCAAACGTTCGACTCGGCACTCACTCACGCGAACAAACAAACACACACACGCATGCAACCATCGGAACTCACGATGGGAGGCGATTTAATAGAGAACCACCAACCACGCAACAAGTGCTTACAGCGATCGGACCGATCCAACGAGCCATCCATCCATCGATCGATCGATCTCTGCCCGATCTCGACCAGCTGTTCGAATCCGTTTTTCAGTGAGTAAGGTTCTTCGTGCCTGCTGCTGCTGCTGCTGCTGTCGCCGCTCTTCGGGTTCCCCGAGGTGTTCTCAGCTTGAGAGTTTTACAGTCGAACGTCGGTAACTAGAACTAACATCTGTCACGAATAAAATTTTGTTTTATGGCTGTTTCTATGGCTAAGATATAATGTTTTTTAACTAAAAAAGATAAATATTATGAAGATAAAAATAATAATCGAAATCATTATTAAGTACAGTAGAGCGCCAATAAGTATGCAGTCTTTTTCCTGATAAGAAGTAAGGGTATTAAAAGGATTACTTAAATCTTAACAAAAAATATTTCTTTCAGTTTAATATGTAAAAAAAAAAGTTTAACCCAAAGTTCTAGTTATTGAATCCCCCCTGTATTGATAGCGCCAATCACTCTCGCTCTCTGTCTACCGACTCTCTCATCTTCGTAGCGCCCATGCTGCTGATAAGAACCCATGTGTGTTTGTATTCTTTTTTCTTTTTCGCATATAGAAACTCAATGAAAGTTTGCCAAGAAACAACGCCTCAAGGCTTATTGAAATGTTTACTTGTGGCAAATTTATGCAACACATTACAGCGGCAGCAGCAGCAGCAGCAGCAGCAGCAGCAGCAGCAACAGCAACAACAACACGAGCAGCTGGGCGCAATGCGTGAGTGGCAGAGTGTAGCGTAGTCGAGTGTGCGTGAGAGAGGGAGTGTTCGTGTGCGTGTGGGTACGATCCGTGAGGTAGGTTGCACTCCAAATACATATGTATATGTGCATGTAGTATATATATATTTCATATTCCATAACACAGTCCAATATAACAGGTTCGAAGACAGGCGGCGGCTAGCTAGTCTTGAGAACTCAAGAAATCAGCTGTGCGACCGGCTGTCTGGATGTCCGAACCGCGACTACAATGTTGCCACTGGCTGTGATTTTTTAATAGAGGGTATAGCAGAAGAAGGAAGGGGTATATTAGCCTAGTTACTATTACTATTTTGATGAACATATATCTGGTTGAAGTATGGTTTATAGTCCCAGCAAGATTTATGTTTCTTTTTACTAACTGAATTATGTTTAATATGTGACCCTTAAGTACTAACGCATAGGATATCCCTTAGTCCTCACCCCACCCCATATATCAATCCTTTAACATGCAAGTGCAACATATGTATGGTGAGGGGTGTAGAGCGGCACAGATCCAGGAGGGGCAGGAAGGCGGAAGGGGCGGAAACCGAAGCGATCGTGAGTGTCGCTCCAGTGTGCGCGCTAATTGCCTTGATTGAGTTTTAAATTAATGCGAATTAGAGTTGTGGTTGTTTTTAAAGCCAAACAATGCGCATGTGTGCATGCTTGTGGGCATTTAGGTTTACAGATGCAAGATACAGGAAGATCTCAGGAGAGCAGAGGGTACAGGATTGTTTCGTTTAAGATTATGTGAAAGATTTATATAGAACTTTGTTTAGTAGATAGGTTAAAGACAACTACTAATAATAATATTAAGACAGGTGTACTAAAATAGACATCATCCAAACATTATTTCATATCATAATAATCCTAGTTTACAGACATTAACCAGTTCTTTAACTTATAGTTAGTTCTGATCCATATATCGTTTATAGTAAATAAGTAAAAGCGATCAAAAACCTAAAAACTAACGAACTATTTGGTTAATAAAATGAAAACCCCAAGATTTGGTTTACTAATTCCTAGTACCGACTTAAGAAAAATCATAAAACATTAAGTGTTTAGGTACTTAACCTTGTAAACCTACCAACTTTTATTACCCTTAAACGTTCTACAAGAGATCTGTCAAATCAGCTCCCTAAACCCAAACCTTAACCCTTTACGCATCCTCCTCATATAAAGTAAGTACTACTGACTCTTATTATCTTGTAGATGCGTATCTCGATTCAGCCCCCCCGTTCCTCAGCTGTCACATTAGATACGATACCCTCCATCTGGTCGGGGGATATTCACACGCTCTCCTCGCAGACGGATAAATTCTTATCCTGTCGATCTGTGGAAATACAAATTGAATTTCTAAGCAATTGCCTGAATGGCTGACTGAATGGATGACTGACTGAATGAGTGACTGACTGACTGACTGAGTAGGCATTGCCTTTGCATTACTAATTAACTGTGTAGTTGTTGTTTTTGCTCGTGATGTTCTTCCACTGCCGCTGGTTGATCCCACAATTATGCCATACCACCAGACATCCCGCCATTCTCCCCCCCTTTCCCTCAACCCATAACCCTGTTACAACTCCTTCGTGTTGGTCGGTCAGTCAATCAAAGGTACAAAAACAAAAAGGCAGAGCGTTGTTAATACTTCTTTTCAATTAGCTTCACACAGCCGTAACACCGGCCCAAGCAGCAGCAGCAGTCGCAACAACAACAACAACAACAACAACAACAACCACAGGAGAGCCTTTTCCCAAGCGAACAGGTTTTTCACGCGACGACAACAATGTTGATGATCACGATAATGAGCAACTGATCACGATCATGAAGTGGTAAACAGAGAAAAATTTAGCTGTTAATATTGATTGCTATGAAAAAATTGGTTTTCTGAGTAGAAATAGGAAAAGGTATAAGTTAATATGATATTTAAAATTAAACTTTTGAAAATTAAAAATTTTTTTTTATATAAATTTTTTTTTGTTGTAGGAAAAAAATAAAATAAAATTTTTTTTTTTTAATTTTTAAACTTAAAAAATATTATAAATATTAAAAATATATTAGTTTTTAATGTTATTGTAGTAAAAATATTTTTTTTAATAAATAATTTACTAAATTTTTTTTTTTTAATTTTTTTAATATTTTTTAAATTTTATTATTTTTTTTCTATAAGCTCCTTAATGTTTTTAAGCAGGTAAATAAATATTAAAATATTCTTTAAAAAAATCATTATTTAATAAGCTTTATTTTTCTCTGTGTAAAAATAGGAAGCAGCCAAAGATATTCACGAAGTTCTTTCGAATTTTCAATTTACGTTTAAGTTTTCCTTCTCTTATTTTGGTTTAACTTCTTTTTTTTTTGTATATAATTTTATTTAATTTTTTTGGTTTTTATTGCTTGAACTTTATTCACTGTCATCGATCGTTGTTTTTTTTTTTTTTTGGGTTCTTTTTGATTTTATTGTTTGGAGGCAAAGTTGTTGTTTTTGTTTTCCTTTTAACGCGCCCGCCGCGACTTTCTGGCTCGCTTCATTTTATGGAACTAAAGCCCACAGCCAATGGGGTATCGGACTCTGCCACAATTTGAGGCAGGGCTCGGGCCGAGACAATTGCTTTCTGCCGTCGATCTGGGGAGCTAAACTCAGCTCTCGTCGAGCTCAGAGCCAGCTTACTACAGCTTACAGCTCCCTTAACATTTAATGAGCATTAACAAGCTGCACTTAAATGCAATAACAACAACAACAACACACCGCAGCAAGGGGGTGGTTGGAAGGAGGGTTAAGGTGGTGTAGGGTGGTCAACAACAACAATTGATAACAAGTAAGAATACTCCAAAGTGGGGGGTTACGGCAGCAGCAAAGAGATTGAAGTCGGCTAAGATTATGGTAAATGGGTAACTTCAAATGCTCTGCAAGATGGGTGAAAGGGATCAAAGATAATCAATAGGAACTAAGGAAAGTATCTTAAAGATATAAACAGTATCTTAAAGATATGAAATGTCTTTAAATATTTTCATGATATGGAAAGATTTTTCAAAAGTAGAGTTTCTTCAGTATTTTCTGATTAGATAATCCCTTCTTATATATATTTTATCATAAATTTTAACCCTTGTCATATGACCATCTCTTCTGAAAGGGTACAAGGAGGAGCACCGTACAAAAAAAAAACAAAACCATTCACAATGGAAGCTCCACGCTGTCTGAGTGAGCGAACAAGTGGCATCGTTGCAGGTTGCGCGTGTGTGTGTCTGCGAGTGCCTCACTTGATTACCCACGAGCTGCAAATTCATTTCTGCCTCCTTTCTTCACAAGTGCCCCGAGAATCGGGACCGGGGAATCGGTAAGGGATCTTCTCAAGAAGACAGCCTTCAGGGGCTCTTATGGTCAGTATACTTTTCTTTTCTTTTCTTTTTTTTTTTTCCTTTTTTTTGTAATTTTTTTACTGTGTTCCAGTTGGCAGCGGTAAAGTGACGCCGAGGGACGACGCATCTGCACACATAGTGACCCAATGATCTACAAAGGGCGCGGTCTGGCCAAAGATTACAGGAGAGAGGAAGAGATAGAACAGGAAAGAGATGGTAAGAATAAAAGTGAAATTAAACGGATCAGAGCTTAATCAATCTATAAAGAAGCTTAGGAGGGATTGATAAGAAAGATTAGACGTGAAGGAAGATGAAAATAAGTTTTAAGTTTAAGTTTCTTGGCCCTCATTAACTAAAAGTAAGTCAGAAACTATAACCATATATATATATGTTATATAATCTTTAAATTCAAACCATTTCCTTATAATACTTTCCAATTTTTTTCTCTCAGTGCACTCTTGCTCCCATTACCCCCTAGCCTATCATTTCTGCTGCCTCTGCTCCATTCATTTCCACTTATTATTGTTGATAGCTTGTCCTTGAACTTGACCCAGCAGCTGGGCCAGCGAAGACGATCTGCCCTTTATGATTATAATTTTTTTTCTTTATGCTCTTTCTTTATCATCGTGTATATATAGTATATACTATAGTATAGTGTAGTACTACACAAGTGCCCAGTGCTCACTATAATTAATCAGTTGTGGTGTGCGAGGGATGTGTGGGATCTTCGAAAAGGGGGCTACTTATCGGTTGGGGGTCTCACTGATGGGTCTCCCTCCCCTCTCTCAACCGATCTTTGCTGTAATGTATATATATATATAGTTTAATCTGGTAATTCATTCACAGTTTCTTTTTTTTGCGTTTTAAACATTTTTCAATTTGACACCTCGCCAGCAGATCTTTTCACATTTATTGGTAGACTGATAACACCTTAAATACGTCTTAAAAATTCATGAATTTTAATTTTTGGACTTGGAGCTTATCGTTTAACGAGTAACGGAAATGACCAAGAGATCGTTGGAGGAGGGTGGGATGAAGTTACGATGGTGATAAGGTTAAAATAAGAATTTCTGTGTAATTAAGAATTTCTGTTTGCATGACCTTTTTGCTGGGTTTTTTCTTTCATATTATTTAATATTTTATTTAATAATAGATAATTACTTAATCCTAATAAAGTCATTGAACTTATGAAATAGGCTATGGGTTCCTATGGAAATCATTTTACTAAGCTCTTTTGTAGATACTTTAATGAAAGTTTGAAAAATTAAAGGTAACTTAAGTAGAAAACATTAAAAATAAGTATTTTCTTTATTAACTTTTGGATAATCTTCACTTTAACTAATTTTTAAATTTATTATATAATTAATATTATGCTAAAACTATCTACTTACCATATTTATATCACACTGAAAACCTGCTCTTACCCCCTTTAAGCTTCGCTTAGCCTTTTAGTAAGACCCAAATAAGTCGCAGCCAATTAAGCATACGCATGGTTGGCCCGCAAAAGTTATCACCCATAAGACACGTGTGCGGGCCTATGACGAAATTACCATTAAAAAAGCCTCAATTGCAAAAAAACCAAATGAGACAACCAAAACCACACAGAAATAACCCAAAAACAAAACCGAAAAACAACAAAATATGGCCATAAAAAAAGCGAAGTAACAATTTAAATAGCGCCATCTACTGAAATTGTAGACAAACCGTCTGAAGGGGGGGGGGAGGGGACAAAAAACAAAAAAAAGCGCTGGTAAGGCGAGTAGCTATCGAAATTTCCACCTAGACATTCACCGAATATTATTTGCAATCGTTTCTGATGACCTATGAGAAAGTCTGGGAAAGTTGAGCGATAATCGAGAAATATGTCACTGCAGAATGGGTAAAAAATATGAGTTGCAATGCAATCCCATGCCACTCCATCCAGCCAGCAACTGCAATTGCAATCGTAATCAAAGCCAAAGTCAAAGCCTAGGCCTCTAGTCTAGTCCATTTAGGGGGAAGATATAGAGTTCCGGAAATGCATTATGCACCAAATAAACAAAATGTGCAATCGCTGGCCCTAGAAAAATAAAAAAAGGGGAAAGTTTTAATGGAATTGTTGCAAATATGAGTATGTGGGCAGACCAAATGGTGCTAGCGGAAGGAGGATGGGTAATCTAGTTTATTGGGAGTTTTATAAGGTTATGCTCTACAGGAAGCTATAGTCTAGTTTATTTTTATAAAGCATAATTTATATAACTTAATAAGTAGGGAAAGTTTTTAGAAAAAGTATAAAAGATATTTCAGAAGAAGTTGTAAGAACTTTTCAAAGTTCTTCTCATTGGTTTAATCTAAAGTTTAGTGAATAAACATATCATATATTAAGTAAGAAATTTCTGAAATATAATATTATAATAAAAAATTAGTTCTAAATGAATAAAATGTTCTCTGCAGAACAGATCTAGTAAGTTTTCAGAATGAAACTTATAAATCAAATATTTATTAAAATATTTTATTAATTTTAATCTAAAACTATTTGCTGTAAAAAATACACATATTAATGTTATTTTTCTAAATAAAATATATAATATATTTAATAATATTTATATATAATATATTTAACATATTTTTCCTAGTAATACAAATTTAATACCTAACCTGCAAAGCGCCTCTTTCCCCCTCTTACGTTTGCTTTTTGAACTAAACACAATTTTCAGATCAGCCACAAGGTATGCTTCTAATATTTAACTTAATTTCCTACATCTTAACCATACAGGGTGACCCCAAACTGCTGCTGCTACTAAAACTTAATTTTTATAAATCTCGCTAACAATAACACTCCAAAATAAAAGTAAAACAAAATGTAATTAAACAATAGCAACCAAAAAAAAAAAACAACCATTATAGCAAACAACCGCTACATAAACAGCTGCGACAGTTTTTGACTTTTCTGCATTACCGAAAAAAGGAGATTTACGAAAAAATGGTTAGGGGGGTTATGGAAAATAACCCTTTTACACAATCCCCATTACATTCACCCACCCACCCAAAAACCACAAAATGCGTGTTTATTAATTAAGCGCATTTGTTTTCATTAAACAAACGTTTTAATTGAGCATGAAAGTTGGCGCCGTTGAAATAAACGCGACAAGGCAATAAAAACGAGCTGAACCATTTAACCCATGCCACCCACCTGACGCACAAGCAGACGAGAAACCGACATAATAATTAATTTCGTTGTATTTTAATGGATTTACGTTGGTAGACATAAGGAAAAGCTGTGGAAATCCCAATGTGCTTCGCTCAATGATTGATGAAACTGTTTTCCAGGCTGATTATTATTTGTAAGGAAAGAAAATGGCTGAGAAAATGGAACTAAATTTAGAAGGAAAATTAACAAAATCCTTTACTTAAACTTAGTTACAAAGTTCTTAAAACTTCTTTAGCTTAAAATATTAAAAGTTTTCTTTCTAATTTTAAAAATACTTACTTTTTATTACCTTCTTGTTATTCCCAAATTATTTTTAACCTTAAAACACTTTGCAAATACCCCCGCTAACCCATTTTTGTTAACCCCTGCTTATGCCTGACTTTATTTTACCATCCATCTTGAAGAACTCTGACCCCAGTCCTATTTTCAACGAGTCCATTGGGTGCAATTAAAATTCGGCCTCGAAATTATTATTATTATTGCTCATGAAAAACACTTTGCCGCCAAACGAACGCCCAGCGCCCTTTTTCCTAAGCTGCTTGCTGGGCCAAAAACTTTTTGGCCAAGACTTGGGTTGGGATGTTTTTAAAAGCACTTTATACGCCAACCACACGCTGCATGATATAACTATATAGATCAAACCCCCCGCTTCATCACCCATCCCCCCCACTGGCCATTGTCTCTATGATTATTTTTCATAAACTTGGCAAATGCTTTGGGAAATCCATTTAGCGGGCTAAAGGAGCCGCATTACTTTATCTCTATCTAAGGCCATCAGTATTATGATTTGTGTCTGGTTGTGGATACTCGAACTGGGACTGAGTTATGGTCCATGGCAAAGGCATTTACTATATATGGCTCTAAATTATGCCAAGCCAAGTCAAGGAACTGGTAGTGGGTTGGCAAAGTTTCTAAGACCACAAGCGCCAAAGTGGCAATGAGAGCAATTTGATAATGATATATGTGGGTTAATAGTTAAGGAATCAAAGGGGGGTTAAAGGTTATGGGTTATAAGTTAATTAATTACCTGATGGGTGTTAAATATAACAGCTTTGTAATCTTAAATAAATAAATAAATATTTCAGAATAAGTTTTTGGAGAAGTTATTTGAAAATTTTTGTAAAATAATTTAAACTTTTTCTGTCACATTTTTCTGTAGTTCTGACTTATAAATGCCTTGCCAGCTTAAGTTATACATTTATAATTTATAATTAAGCATTAAATTTCATTTAAGGTTCCTTAAAAATGTTTTTGTTCCGCTTAAAAAATCTTATAAAGCCCATTTCCAGCTGATTTTTTAACTTAACAAACATGAGAACCTACAGGTAAGCATTGAAAAAGTTAGAAACTTTCATAATTTAATATTTTTTCTTTACAGTTTCCTGATTCTGGCAATTTTGGCAACAATAAAACTGCAAGAAATTCTATCCAGTCAGCCAGGGCCATGTCGCAAGTTGTCCCAAACCTTTAATACAGTGGGTTAAACTAAAACTAAGCCAATTCGCTTCCAAAATGTTAAAAAAATATATTATTTTCCTCTTACAGACCAAACTAAAAGGCAAATTGATACATCGATCGATCTATCTGGATGTTTTTTCCACTAGAAAGCATAAGAGTGTACCCCTAAATTTATGCACCCAAATGGATTTTCCGAATCCAAAACAGAAAAATGCTAAGATTATAGGCACCGATGATCAGAATTTTGTGGTTCTGTATGAGTGTCATTACTATCCGGTTACAAAATCACACAGAGGTGGGTTTTTAAAGTTTATCAACTGCAGTTTGATCTATTTAATATCTATCTTTTAGAGTTTGTTAACACTTACACTAGGTTGAGGACTCCCAAAGAAGATACCCTAAAGAAAATAAGCAAAGCCTTTACTGATAATGGTTTGTATGAAAAGCAGGTCTTATTGATGTGCAGTTAAAGTGGAAAAGTGCTTGTAATGGGTTAAAGATTTTATTATATTATATTCATAGATATATTTTATTCAAATTCAATAAACGGATGTGTAATTTCTACCCAGGTCTTACGGTAAAAATGAACTTTAAATGCTTTTTAAACTTTTGTAATTGTTAATCAGGCGAAGAAATTTCACATTTGATTTGGTGGAAATTGTGTTTTTTCACTTAATAATAAATAGTGCTAATAAAAAACACATTCTTGGCCAAAAAGTGAGATAATTTAAGCAGGATTTTCCCGTAAACAAAGAGAAATATGTAAGATGAATTGAAATACTGATATGGCGATGTTTTAATGCTTTACAAGTTTGCGGATTTTAATGATTGCCTAATGATTGCCCCTCCCTGAAGCCTGTTGAAGGTTGAAGCAGATATTAGGTTGTCAAAAAAGTCTTGCGGGTGGCCCACGTAAAATTTGCGTTCGCTATAAAAATATCAAATTTTCCCAATTTTCTTCAAGCGTAAACTTAACCATTTTGTAAACCGCAAACCTTCTACTAAATATCTAAGACATTGACAATGATATTTGGAATATCAAAGTCAAAATTATTGATAGTTCAAAAAGCAAACGCTACATGGGCCAACCTGTATAACTTAAACTTAAACTAAGTGGAACATCAATAGCTCGTCTTTTATTCTGCTATTTCAGAACAAAATGTTAGAAGGGACAAAGATCTTAGTTTTATGCACTCTCTCAGTTTTTCTACAATCCACACTGAAAAGTGTTAAGGCAATGCTTACGGAGAGCTTTCTGGTTCTGAACAAGTCTGAGTACGAGTTCAATGCCTTGTTAGAAAACTAAGTTGCTTAGTAATTTACCCTCAATGATAAACAGCTGCAACGTTATAATATTTTCAGTTCAAAGTTGACTGACACTTGGAAGCATTCACTAACCTGGCCAAGCTGTAGGCCTAAAATGTTGTTACTTTGTCAATAAAATAGAATGCCAGAAACTAATTCTATCATCTCATGTAAAATAAACTATAAAAAATAAGCTCTTGATGAATTTTTTAACGCTTTTTATTCAAGTTGTTTTTTTGTTTTATTTGTTGGCTGTTTTACCAATTTCAATTTGCGCCAATGTGCTGGGAAATTCCACTCTCACCTCTGCAGCAACCCCAAAAAATTTCTCCAAACTCCTCATCCTCAACCCTCTGGTTGTCATAAAAATATGCGACATTTCGTTTTTATCGCTTTTGAAAAACTTTATTCTTGGCCCTTTGGCGTTCAATTTCTTCTTGTATTCTCCATTTGCGCGTTCTTTTGATTTCAACTCCCCCTTTCCCTTTCCCTTTCTCCCTCTTTCCCTGTTTTTGTCTGATTTTTTATTTTATTTACAATGGCAATTTTCTTTGTTTTAAACAAGCAGCGCATTGCTTTTTATTTGTGACGGGCGATTGGCGATTGGAAAGCGCCCGATTGGCTACGATTTCTTAACGTTTCTTGTTGGGGGAAGTACTATGGGATGTTAGAGGTTATTTTGGTGTAAAAATTAAAGTCCTTAATAAGAAGAAACTGTAAAATTCTCAAAGTTTTAATGATTTTTGTCATTGATATGATTTTATTAATATTATTATTTGGTATTTTTATTATAGAATAAGCTTAAGGAGTAGCAGCTCAGTTAAATCTGTCAAAAATGGTTAACAGATTGGTAAAAAGACTATAAAATTGACAGATTATATACAAAATATATCCCTTCTTACTACTGAATAATCATATTTACATATTGGAAATGATATTCTTTCAATTTTTATCCTTTTTTTTTAACTTTTCTTAAACCAAAAAAGCTAATTAGTTAACCTTCTTACTCTAAAAAAGTTTTCCCTAAGCAAGGTTTTAGGTTTTTATTTTTAAAATCTTATTAGTTTCCCCCAAAATCTATAACCACACTTTTACCCACCGTATTCCTTGCCCCACCCAAACCAACACCAAGTTAACATCATCAACAACATGGCTATACCCCCCCACTACTACCCCCCCCGCCAACCCAACGAGGGAGAAAACAGCTTTTCCGCGTCGCCATAAAATGCAAGTGGTCAAGTGTAGGAGCTGAGAGCCAAAGTCAAAGAGGAAATCACAAAATGAAAAACGAAGAAAAACAATTAAATGGCTAAAAGCAGCGGCAGCGGCAGTCGACAGGAGCAAAACAAGCGAATAAACTTGGGGAAAATCTTTAGAGTGGTAAGGAAGAGGAAAATTTGGGGAGCTGACAGGCGGGAAAAGCGAAAACTGAAAGCTGCATTTGCGACACGTCGAAAAGCGTCAGCGCCAATGGCAACTCAGTTTAATTGAAATCAAGTGGATCGAAGAGGGATAGGAAAATATGGAAGGAGAGTGGTTGGTAGCTGGTTGTGGGGAAATGGTGAAAATGGGGGACAGGGAAAGTTGATTGCCAGGGTGGATTGCAAATCGAATTGAAACGCCGAAACGTATTCGAAAATCGACAGCAAACGTAATTGAAATTGCATGAGCAACAATGTGCGGTGGGTAAAAAAGAGAGGGGGGAGTGATTGTGGAAAATAGGTGGAGAAGAGGGCATACAGTGGGTGGTACTGCCAAATGGAGGAGAGCCAAGCGAGTGGACAGACCCCCAATCAGTCGACTTTTGCTTACTTTACACATAAATTGGCAACACTGCGGCAGAAGTGGGACAGAAAGTGAGATAGAAAGGAGAACTATTTAATACTCTATTTATTTATAAAGTATTTATTTTTTTTTTAATGTTAATTTAACTCTTTTTTCGCTGAATAAGAATATTCAATCTTCCCGTCAAATATTTTCTGGTAAAAACCCATAAAAACTTCAATTTAAATACAAATTTTCTCAAATATTTTTGCTAATAAAAACAAGAAATAAATTTAAAAATATTTAAAATATATAATAAAATAGTTCTTAAGCTTTACAAACCTTTACCACTACCCAACATACCCCACTAAAATATCTACAATTTTTCCCAATTTCATTTCCTTGACTTCTTTGACTTTTTATGGTTTTCAATACGTTTGCCTGTTACCTCCCCCGCCCTCCAGCCACAGAATGAAATTTATGGGCCATGTTTAAGAAATTAAATTCCCTACAGCTGCCAGTTTCTTAAAACTGATTAACAGTTGGCCAACAATTTTTGTTTAATTACTGCGGCAGAAAAATAAATCCATTCCTGGCAGTCAGATAAATTTACATTTAGTAGTGATTCATGCAAAGATTTCGACTTGGCATAAGGCGGTTGATTTTTCAAGCAATTTGCAAATTGTTTTTCTAAGCCCACACATATACAAAATACAAATACAAGCATGGAGTGTGTGGGGCGGGATGTGGCGTACAAGCAAGTGGTTGGAAAAGTGTCAGCAGAATAAATGCTGACAATAAATAAAAATGGAAAATGATTGAAACATGTGTCGGGCATTTTCGATTTTTTGATATGCCTTGCACGTTCCATGAGAGGTTCTTCCTGCCCCCCTCTACTTTATTTTCCTCCCTGACACTGTTTCTATGCTTTGGCTTATGTCAATAGCCTGCAAATGTAAACAAATAAGAAAGCAATCAGAGGCGACATTTTCTAACCTAACGTGAGTGCGCACAAAAGTATGCTATAAAAAATATGATGAGTCTGACGAAGCGCCGGAAAATGTGAATGGAAAAAAGAAGGGGAAAGGAGAAAGGAGAAGGCTTTGTCACAATATCATAGGAAATAATATGATGGCACATGAAAATTGTAGCTAAAGAAGTGCTCACATTGTACTAAAAATGAGGTTGAGGAGGAGGGAAATTGTCTATCTTTCTGTACATCAAAAAGAAAGCTCTAAAATTTGCTTAGAAAAACAACTTTTTAGGTATTTTGCAGATTTGATTGCTTAATATTTAGGCTTTACAATACTCAAAATATATTATTTACTTAATAAAAAGTTAATTTAATGAATAATATATAACAAAAATTAATAATCTTTTCCATTAAAACCTTTTTTTAATATTCACCTTCAACCCTTACCATAACCCCACCTCAATTTTCTATCCATATCAATAAGCCATATCGATGTCATTGAATGACAAGCCCAACTAATACCATATTGATTGCCTGACCAATAAAACTCCACCCACGGGGGCATTTGCACCACATAACTCGGCATCAGGCGGCACATCCTGTTGAAGTATAAAAGGGTTTATGGCTTGTTTGCAAAAAAAAACAAAAAAAACGAAGCAAAAATAAATAAAAATAATACTAGCAAGGGGGTTATGGAAAGGAGAAACAAAATCCCGAACAAACATTAATTTGTAACGCACGTTTGGCCAATTTCGGTTTTACAATTTTGACCAAAAAATGTACCCCAAGTGACCGCATAACGAGCGCAAATCAATTTGCCACGTTGATAAGCAACCCTCCATCGTTGATAACCCTTTTTTTTTTGTTTTTTATTCCTAACTCCTATATTTATTCTTAACCCTTAACCCATTGGGCCTCGGCTGTCATAGCCGGGGATTTATAGATATTAAATTAGAAAGGATTTTAACACGCGCACGTAACTTTGACATACATCAACGGAAGGACTTAGCTTTGCAGCATAGAAAGAAAAGAAAGTCAAATAATGCAAATTGTATGCCAAATGTTGAGATTTGTTTTGCTGACCAAACTAAAGCATAAAAAAAACTTACAAATACATACATATACATATATGTATATGTATTTCTCAGATACTAACACACACCAGGGTCCCAGCTGCTTCAGTCTTCCGCATCCTGCGGTTGCCCCAATTTCATTTCCAAAACGCATTATAATCATAATAATAATAATAATAATAACAGTAAGCAAAGATGACAGCAAATTTCAAATAGGTGTGAAATGAAAACTCTGTTGTGTATATAGATTGGTCAGCAGTTGGTTTTGGTTTAAGGCTTTAGGGGGTTAAAAAGGGGTACAAAGTCACAGATGTTATGTGGCCAATGGGAAATTCAAATTTGGAAAAGGATTATTGACCAAATATTGGCTGGGATTCGTAGAAGGATGGCTTGGACTTTACTTTAGATTGGTTGGGATTTGAGAGTGAGATTGCGGAAAGTGTTGAAGAAGTTTTTTGATTTAAGGAAGTTAGTGTTAAAATTCATAGATCAGGCGAATTTCAACAGAGAACAATCATCTCATAAATACCTCAGTTTCCAAGACAGTTCTTCCCTCCCTTTTACAGTTTAATGAACTGTGATTGAGGGGTAATCCCTCTACCCCTTTTCATCTCCACAGACTACCAATCCAAGCCATTAGCCATGGCTATTTACCTTTCAGTTTGCCTTTCAGTTGAGCTCGGATTTTAGGGCCAACATGTGAAAGAAAATAAAAAATCTCACAAATTATTTATTAATTACCACGGGCAACCGGCGTAGCTTCGAGTTGGCCAAGAAAGATGTGCTCGCTTGGGTTCATAGACTGACTTTCAGTTAGAATTCTTGGCCTTTAATAGTGTTTTCAATTCTCTGCTTATCGGTATTGTAAATTTTAATTTCTCTGCCCCCAGCTTCCTTCTCGGATTTTTCATTTTCTTGGTTTTTTTTTTATATTTTTTGGCACAATAAAACAATAAATCAATCACAGTTAGGGCTTGTGTTGTTTTGTTATCTTTAACCAAGTTTTTAGTGTCTTGTTAGATTTTTTTTTTTTGTAGGGTTCAAATTTTTAGAGGCCTTGGGACTTGGACTGCGAGAAAATTAGAGAAATTTTGGGGTTTCCTTTTAGAGTTTTTATATATTTTTAAAGATTTTATTTAAGTTTTATTTTAAGAAACGGAAAAAGTACAAAAAATCCTACAAAATAAATTTTTCTAGATTTTTATTTCATTTTTTAAGTTATTTAGTTTAATATTTCTAGGAAATGTGAATCAAGAAATTAAAACTTTTTATAGTTAAAAATTAATTTATATTTTTTTTTTTTAGATTTTCTTAACCCTCTTAATCCCTTTCAGTGTACATTTTTCATTGTTTTTCGTTTGAGATCTGTTAACAGCGATAAGGGGGAAAATTCTTTGACATGTTTTCTGCCTTGCATAAATTTATAGTGAATTGCCTAAGATCAAAGTTAAAGATGCGGGCTGCTTAGAAAATATATATATAAGCTTAGACAAAAATAAGAAAAACTTAGAAATGAGTTAGGTCTTGAGGAGTATTTAAAGTCTGGGGCTGTGGACATTTTTTTATGGGGCCGGCAAAGTCAATTAAATAAAGAACACAGTGGAAAATCAACAAGCTGTGGTGGAAAATGACCCGAGAAAATTCAGAGAAACTCACTCAACGGTTGAGTGGGTTTCTGTCTCGCTCTCTTACTTCCCCTCACATTCACTCATTCAACAATGGCGGTCGGTGGTCTCTCTCTCTCTATCTCTCTCTCTCTCTTTGGCCTTAGTAGGTGTGGCCTAGCCTTGGATTTCATTTCCCATTTCATTCCTATAAGATCTCACCGTTTTGTCTGAGTAAATTAAAATTTTGTGTAGTTTATTATTAAATGAAGCGCATTTTTGTATTTGTATGTAGACCGTCTGTCTGTGTCTGCATGTGTGTATGGCTGTATGTGTGTGTGTGAGCAGCAGCAGTAACAGCGGCATTTTTATATAGATAAACATAAATATAAATCGTTGGCCGTCGGTGGGTTAACATTCCTCAGACCCAACAACATGCACATAATAATATTAAAATGTTAATTAGCGTATTAATTCAGTTCGGTGTTGAAAGAGTGGGTTGGGGAAATCAACAGATAAGTTTTTGAATGGTAAGTTATATATTAGGGATATTTTATGGGTTATATTTATAAAGATTAAATGATTAAATATCAAGAACTTAATACTTAATAGTTGGGTTATATATTGCTTATTTAAGATTATAAGCAATTATGATTTTTAAGCATATCAAAATGTACTTAAATTTTAAGTATTTCAAAAATAATTCAATATTTCTATCACAAAACAGTGTTAATATATTATAATTATTATTTAAAGTATTTACCATTTTAGTTACCCACCAAAAATATTTATTAAACAATCTATAAAACCCTTTCCCCTTAACTTTCTTCCTACAATTTCCTCTATTTTCCACCTCCTACATTTTTTACTCTCATTTATCGCCATCACAATTTTTAATTATTTAAATGAATAAGGCCAAGGAAAAAAGGCTGCCAGCCCCGGTCTCAATATTTATAGCTTTTTAAACAAATAAACGGAATTCTCGCAGTCGACAAAAAGGCCACCCACAATCCAAAAACGTCCAGGGAAAAACCCATGAAAATGCACTCAGCCAAGCCGAATACCAGTTTGCCAGAAAGAGACACAGTATGGGGGGAGGGGGAGGGAGCGAAAGAGCAAACGAGTACCGGGATAAGTTCCCGTTTCAGTCCCAGGCTCCAATCCGAATCCGAAATAGTTGATTTTAATGATGTACATAATAAAATTCCCATTCGTTTTGTGCCAATGCCACTGCGTTCCAGTCTGCATTTCATGTTTACACTGATTGTGGAACACTCGTATGCGAGCAAAAGAGATACAGCTATGTGTGTGCAAGTGGGATAACAACACTCATACCTCTCACTCGCACTTGCTAGAAGAGAGATTGGCTGGGTGAGTGGAATCCGGAATACGGGAGGGTTGAAAGTCATACCTCCCAGGCCCAAGACCCAAGACCCAAACCCAAACGGAAAACCAAAACCAAAACTGAAACTGAAACTGAGATTGTGCGACGGAGGGCCAGTCGAGTCAATTTCGAAATCATTCGCTAGTCGTAGGCCTAAACAAGCGGACACGCGCGGGTCTCTGTCTCTTTATTCACTCCGATATATCCCGGACACGGAGTTACCTAAATCGTTAGTCTGATCTCTCTTGAAATCGGTGAACAGAAATATTAAAATAATTGAAGATTATTAAAATCCAAAGAACGATCTAAATAAAACGTGTTTTTTTCGGACTAAAACTTCTGTCAGAAATTGGTTTCGTGTTTGTGAGAAACAAAGATTTGAGATCTTTTGATATTGAATATAAAATAAACAAATTTTGAGAATTGTTATCGGTGAACGACTTAAAAAAAAACCTAATAAAAGCACCAAAAACGGTAAAACTTGAAAGGAATAGAAATAAAGTGAACGGCAGCATAAAACTGGAAACAAAACTGCTGATCAACTCGGTTAAAAAAAAAAAACAAATAAAACTGATTAAAAATAAAACTATATGACATTTAAAAAATATCCCAAAAATAAAGATTAAAGATTAACAAAAAGACTACCAAAGTCAAAGTGAAAATTCATTCCTGACCACTTAAATCCAATAATATCTTTAAGATTCCATCTTCTCCGAGTAAAGCACCATTCATAGACCGATCCCAAGCTGGGTAGTCCATTCCTCAGTATCACACCGGCGGGTGGCAGTAGCAATCCCTCGCCCACGCCACCACCAAACGAGGCCAAGTTGGCGGCCAAGCAGCTGGCTCAAAGCTTTCAGCTGTCCGCCAATTCTGCCTTTAACTTGGCCCTGCCGCCCAGTTTCTACAGGCAGCCACAGCACGCAGAGTGTTTGGACTACGGACACGAAGCACCTGAGATGGATCTAATAAATCCGTATATGAGACATCATAGTTTTGCGGCCGCCGCACAGGGTAGTCCACCGTCGGCGGCGCAACGTCATCATTTGGCCGCGGCCATGAGTAATGGATTCGCGGATGTACATGCCCATGCGATGGCAGCGGCGGATTACCAACAACAGCTGGCCGATTACCATAGTGCAGCGGCTGCAGCGGCCGTCTATGCCAATAATAATAATAATATTAATAATAACAATAATAGCAATAACAATAATAACAGCAGTCCGTTGATGTTGCTAAAGGCGGCACATGGCGGTGGCTTAAAGGATTCAGATTCACCATCAACGACACCGCCACCTGCCTCCTCTAGACTTCATTCCGATTCCTCGCCATCTCCCCGTTACGAGCACAATTCCAGTCCCGGTGTGGATAGTGCCAAGTCGTATGCTTTGAGCCAGAGAAGCAGTGGAGCGGAGGATCCTTGCCAGACCAGCGAATCTGCCAGTCCACCGCCACAGGTGCCGAACGACTATAGTCCCGAGAATCTTACCAGTCAGAGGGCAAAATTCCAGCACCATCATCATGGCGTTAACCCACTGGCCTTGCATAATGCCAACCATGGAGGTAATCCTGTTGGCCACAACAATAACAACCATATGGATCACAAGCTGCCGCTAAGTTTTCTGGGTCCACCATTGGCTGCTCTTCACTCGATGACCACGGAAATGAAGACGGGTCAAGGTGTCGGCAGTTCGTCGGCTAATGGCTTGTCATACGGACATAGCCCGAACTCACATCTGATCAGTGATCGGGGATCTGGCGGCAGCTCTTCGTCATCATCTACTACGACCACGAATACCAATAGCCAAGGGGCACCCAATCCGCATGGCATCGATACTATCCTCTCCAAACCGCCGCCGGTCACATCGGCGGGTCTAAGTGCTTTAACAGGAGGTGAGTTTTGGATTGGGTTTTGATATATATTAGGACCTCTATATTATTGAATATTTATACCCGTTACTCGTAGAGTAAAAGGGTATACTAGATTCGTTGAAAAGTATGTAACAGATAGAAGGAAGCTTTTGCGACCCTATAAAGTATATATATTCTTGATCAGGATCAATAGCGAAGTCGATTGAGCCATGTCCGTCTGTCCGTCCGTCCGTCCGTCCGTCCGTCCGTCCGTCCGTCCGTCCGTCCGTATGAACGCTGAGATCTCAGGAACTATAGCAGATACAAAGCTGAGATTAAGCATGAAGATTCTTGAGGTCCCGGGACAGCGCAAGTTTATTACAGCATCCTGCCACGCCCACTCTAACGCCCACAAATCGCAAAAAACTAAAATTGCTGAAATCTCAGGAACTATTGCAGATAGAAAATTGAAATTCAGAGAGTATAATCTTTAGATGACAGCGCATCTTATAGTGCTGCTACTATCCGGCCACACCCACCCATACGCCCACAAGGCTCAAAAGACGGTTTTCGGATTTTCTAGAAAAGCTGATATCTCGGTAACTATAAGAGATAGAAAGTTCGGATCCAGCATGTAGGTTTCTATGATGCTCCCAATGGGAATTGTTTTTTCCGATCACGCCACGCCCACTCTAACGCCCACAAAACCCGAAAAACCAAAAATGCAAATATCTCGAAAACTATAAAAGCTACACAATTTTGCTTAGGAACACGTATTTAGGAGATGCCTCTGGAACTTGCCACGAAGTTGCATCTGGCCACGCCCACTCTAACGCCCACAAACCGCGGAAAACTGTGGAGTCTATAATATTATTATGAATGCCTTCGTTTGACCTTGTGTAACTTATTTCTGTTAATATCTATCGATTTACAAAAGATTTTTCAAATCGGAATATTATTTCGCTATTTATGAAGAAATTAAGTTATAAGGCCTCACATGGGCAGTGACGTCACTATAAGCATACTCAACATACTTTCTCTGACAATAGGTGGCGCCTTGTGAATTTCCACTAGCAAAATTAATATTTTAAAATTGTGTAAAACAGTAACGGGTATCTTATAGTCGCGGCACTCGACTATAGCGTTTCCTCTTGTTTTTAACTTCGAAGTTTATTAGTCAAATGGGGTTTCATAAATATAGAGTGTAGTTTAGGTTGTAAAATAGACTTTGCAGCCCTTAAAGTTTAATTATTCCTCAAAGTAATATAAAGTAAATATTAATTCAGAGAATCAACCACTTAAAGGCTGTATTATAAAGCCAAAAAGGCATTTTCTTATATTATTTTCTATTTTTATTAACATAAATACAAGCTTAACTTAAAATTTTAGAGTCTGTAGTACCTGTTAGAGACCCCTTAACTCCCTGTATAGCCACCATCATCTACCCCAAAGACCCCAATTCAATGCATAAAATCATTATGCAACACTAAAATATATATCAAACACGAATCAATAGATATTATGCATGCAACAAACACACACACAAACACACACTAAAAAAAACGCGAAATATTTTAAATGCTTCAAAAACTCGTTTCGCAAACCAAACAGAAAAATAAAAGAGCCAACCTCAGCGAACAAAAACGTACGAAAATTGTTGTTTTGTTTACGAATCCGGTTTGGCATGATTCCATATATGATTCAATATACGAGTATACCCCCCCAACCCACAGTCAACCCCCTTTTCTGTCATTACACCACCAACGCACTGCCCCCCTCCCGGCTGAACCCTTTTTACCTAATCAGAGCAATTTTAGGTTATTGGGCACAACGTTTTCTACGAAAACCCCTCCCACCCAATTTGGTTATAATATCAAATTGCAAAATTACCGCACACAAAACGTAATGAGATACGCGTTTTAACGTTAAATGTTGCAGCAATTAGTTGTCAAATTGTTTGTAATTAAATCAAAATGACACACGAAAAACGTGGCCAATACGGTGGCTAGGAAACATAGGAAATGGGTTGACGCTGTGACGTTGTCGTTTCACTAAAATGATTTGGTTTTTCAACCTCCTCTCTATGGCTTTGATTTTTTCTCGACTTTTTCACTTAAATGCGATCCGCATTGTGGTGACATGACAGTGTGGCTTGGGTGGAGAGGGAGGGAGCGGAGCCGACAGGGTGCTGACAATTTGCCATAACATTTTTAATTATTTTTAACGAGGGCGTTTATGTGATTTGATTCGTTCGATATATTTTTTTTTTTTTTTTTTTGATTTTTTTTCTTTAAATGCCTCTGTGACCAAATGTGTCTCTCATTCTTTTTGTGACAAATTATTTAATGGCCTTTAATTAATTCGAACAAATTCCGTTTTGTATTCGAGTCTGTGAGTTCAGCATGAGTGGGCAGAAAGATTGGTTAGTTGAGAATGTTTTCTAGCGAAAATCTCATGAAGGGGAAATCAACTTTTGAGAGGATTAGTTAATGGGGCGGGTATTTTGTAGCTGATTATGAAATTGACAAGCTTGATTGATAGGTTCTAGGCTTTTAAAAGTATTATTTAATACGACTTTAAGTTTTTATTACTTCAAAACTTACTACTTACAATACTTAGATAATTAGGTAACTCATTTTAACATCAAATAAGAATCTATGATTCCGTTTTGTAGACCTTAAATCAGGGCTACTCAAATTCGTCTTACGGCATAGCATTTACTAACATAAATACAAGAAAACGTGCACATATTTAGTAATGCTTTTGTGTAGGCTTGCAGCTGTGTACTGAGAGAAAGAGAAACGTGTTTACGCTACTCACTCACCTTACTGAACCGCCAAATGCAAAACTAACTGTAAATTGCGAAGAGAAGGAATAAAGAATATATTCCAGTGCAAGTGTTCGAAGAGCGAGGATGATCCAAAGAGGAGAGGATGAAAAAACAAGAACAAAATATATTACAGTTAGCAACGAAATGAGGCGGAAAGAGGAAAACGACAAATTTTTAGTGGAATAGCGCAGTCAGCGCTCAAAGCTTACGACGAGTATATCGATATGCAGAGTATCGATATGCAGGAAGCATTTACAAAAACCAAAGAGCACTCAGGGCATAGGCGTTGTGCACCCCTGCCATATATATCTTTCTCTCTGTTAAGAATAATTACCCGACATACCCCTGTTTAACTCATTACTAATCACATTTCCATCTATTTCTTCCCCCCTCAGCTGGCATTCCCCGCTTCTCAATTGCCGCCGCAGCAGCGGGAATGGCTCAATATCTATCCCAGAGTCAGGGAGCTCCATTGAAGACCCACGCCGGCCACATAGTGGATCGCACGCACCTGTACTGGCCAGGATTACAAGGATTGGTGGCCAATCCCATAGCGTGGCGCGAACGTCTCTCCAATACGAGTAAGTAAATTGCAAATTGTCAGCAAAACAAACATTAATTTACGATTGATCGGTGAATTGAGAGCGTAATTTGGTTACGATTGTAAAGGCGGGCACACCTCGTTGCGATTTCAACTTCCTGTTTTGGGGGTATCGAATCAGATTGAGGGTGATCAGGCGAGGAACTGGTGAACCGTTAACAAAGCGCAGCGAATGCCCAACTAATGATCATGGTGATCAGGCGCAATGGTCTTCTCAAGTGATTACCAATGCGGCTTACAACTGGGGGCAAGTTGCATTGTCCGACTCATTAATAAGTGTTGAGGAACCACTTTGACACGATCAGCGGGCACGGAGAGCTCTCTTTCGGCATGACTCTACAGAAAAGTCGATAATGATCGGTCAAGATGATGATGCTGGGATGGCACCCCAACTATACTTTACACATATGAAATATTAATTTACTGGACACAGATGATTTCTGATTTGAGTTTTCTGATCTGGTTACTTCATTATTACATCTATTTATAGGCATCGCTAAGCTCATTAAGTAATGTGCCACCAACTCGTTTTCTTTTTCCAAACAATTGTTTATTTATTTGTTTAAAGGTCTCTCCCTTCCCTCCCTCTCATAATCATAATCATCATCATCATCATCATTATTATCATCGTTCGCATTGGCAATTGATTTGATTTAGTGCTGTGGGCTACTGCTGCTGCTGCTGCTGCTGTTTGCCTTTTAATTGCGGCCATGACTTGGCACTAAAATCTTGGTCCAAAACTCGGAAATCGTTCACAATTTTCTTGCATTCAAGCGATCTTCGATGGTTGTGTTGGCTGCCCAGAGAGAGAGAGAAAGAGAGAGATTTGTGGCACAGACTGGTTGGGTGTTTATTTTTGTCTTGTGTTCAATTTGATTTCTGAAGTGTGTCGTTAGGTGTTGGGGAATTTTCACGCTTTTTGGTAGCTCTGTGGGCAACATTAAGCAAATATTGATTTAATTGATTTGCTAAACAGAGCAGCGAATGGTTTGGATTGGTTAAGGAGACTGGATGGATGGTCAGCAGAAAATTATAGATTTTTTAAAGAGTAGAAAGAACAGAACTGAAGTTGTAAGAAAATATGTTTTCAAGTCTGAAAATTCTTAAAGCTCTTTCATTCTTTCATTCTTCTTCTCTAAACTAAAAATCAATATTTTCTTATTTAAGAATCTCAGTCAAGTCTAACAAGCCATAAAATTGAATTTGAAAAACATTTCTCAATTGTCAGTTTCTAAGGCTCATTGTTTCCGCATCATTTCTGTCTTTGGTTAACTTTGGCCACGTAAAACATTCTCATATTTCGGCTATTTACATAAACATACAACCATTCCTTATATTCGTTTTTTATTTATTTATTTCTGTATATATAAACGTATTTATGGCTGGGAAAGATGCGACAGCTGGCGTATCCAGACGGAAAAAACTTTCGTTAGCCGAAAACAAAATGTTTAAGCAGACTGGGCTGTATACAAAGATATATATATATACATAATGTATATATAGGAAGATAAAGGCAGACACAGACGCTGCGAGAATATGTTGCCACATTATTATCTAGCAAGAATTTCAAGGGGGATGATGCTTTGTTTTACTTTACTCAGTGTTTGTGTTTTTTTCTACTTCCTTTTTATCCCGAAATGGAGCAGCCCAACATGCATGTGTATTTGTGTTTATGTGCTTGTAGGCTGTCATGTTAACAAGGAGGAAAGCTTTTCCCTGCTGTATATCTATGTGTGCGTGTGCGCATAACACACCCACACACACACACACAAACGGTTATTTGAATTTATTCTCCTGCCCTAAAATGTAGACTATGATTTTTTTGTTTTTTGTTTTTTCCTTTTTTTTCAACACATTTTATTTATTATTAATAATGCAATTGCATTTGATTAGCTTTTGGGTGGCATTATTTACTCTTTGATTAAGCCATGGAATTTTTCATTTCATTTGGCTTTATTTATTCCACCTGTTTATTGTTATCATTGTGATTATTTTTTTTATAGTTTATTATCAATATTTGCCTGGCAATTCATTAATTGCAATTTATTGCCATTCAATTTATGCGAGTTCATTGCGAAATTTGTATTTATTACATTCGAAATGGTATTAAGTTGGCTTACATAATGGTTGATAGGCGGCAGGGATATTATTTGGCTAAGTTAGCTTATCATTTGGTGGCATTTTCTAGGGGTAGGTTAGTTAGTTATCGTTGGGTAAATAGTGAGTAATCATATTATAGTTTATTAGAAGAAAAAAACATATATCAGTCATATTCCTTTCACAATTTCTCATTCAAAAAACTTCTCTTCTCTTTTCTTTCCTTGCCATAACCTGCAAACCCGACTTTTATTCATTAAAAGCAAAATTAAAATAAAGCGTGTAACCGCATTGTGCTAATGAAATAATTAACTTTAGCATAAAAAGTAAATACAGGAAGGCACAGAGAGAAAGAGAGAGAGAGAGGGAGAGAGAGAAAGAGAGGTAAAAGGCAACGTAAATGCAGAGCGAGATGGCAACTGAAACCGCAGTCTGCGTTTGACACAATTCATTAAGCTTAATGAAGACAGCCGAGAGAGAGACGGCACTAGCCTTTCTAGCTGTTGCGTTTAATTAAAATTCAAGTGGCATTTTCTGTGTCATCCCCTTTGGAATTTACCACCCCCCGCCCCACCCTAGCTTCCTGTAAAACTTGTGCTTTAAGCATATAATCGGGCATAAAACAGGCCATAAAACACCGCACAAGTTGCAAGAGGGAGAGACAGAGAGCAGTGCCAGCAGTGGCACTTAATGAGCCAACCTACCATCTCACATATACATATATATATATATATATATATGTATATATCCCCCCTACTACCTGGGGTATATAAAAAGGTGCGGATTAGCCGCCCCAACTGGTGTGCAAGAAGTTTACTGCTCAACAACCAGATTGGCATTAACATTTTACAAGATTGTTATATCAACGTGATAAAGCGGTTGGAAATGATTCAGATTGACGGGAATGTGTGGGATGGAAAGAGGCCTTAAGGAGAGTCTTTTGGGAATAAGGATAGGTAGAAGGGGAAATGTAAAACATTTCTTAAATATTTTCCAAATTGTTTTTATAGGAAAATCATTCTTAGAACTTCTAACTACAGAGGCAAACCCCTCCCACTCTTACAATTTCATTAGATAACCCCCTGTCTATCAACATTTGGTGCTAACGATTGTCTCCCTCAACTCAGTCCCTTAACAAATCAAAATTTTCCGCCTTTCCTTTCTTTATTTCCCCTCCACACCCGATAATAAATGAGGTTTTAATATTTTCAATAAGGGAAACATTTACACCAAAACACAGCACACGCCCACCTTGACTTTCCCTGCCAAACCCCACCCTCCAGAAAAAAAATAATATTAATGCCGTAAAAAATATTGGCACTGAAGGAAAATCCAAAACGAAAAAAAAAAGAAAATCATTTAAGTGTTGGGAGGAAAAAGTGCAAATGCAGCGATGCCAACAGGGTGACTTATGCGATTATAGACAACTGCCACTGCCACTGCCACTGCCTTCGATCGAAGAACCCAGGGGCGTGCCATAAAGGGGATGGGGGATAAAAAAAAGGAGGGAGAGAGAGGAGAGACAGCAGGGGTGGACCATTTCCATTTCATTGCATTGCGTTTGAGGGCCGTGACATGAGCAAATAAACGCTTCATATTTGTCGGTTATTTATGAGGGTCCTTGCAGGACGCAGCTGCCAACCGCCAAAGAACCCCGGGTCCAACCGAGATAGCTATACCGAAAGAGAACAAAAAAAAAAAAAAAAAAAAATTATCACTGCTACAATTTTTCTTGCAAGGGATTACGCTTGTTACATGGCCAACAAAAACAAAAAAAAAGCAAACCATTCAAAGCGAAAGTCCGCGGTAGATGCCCTCGAACCAGCCCCAACCCCCTTTATTGACAAGTCCTGTTAAGCTCCAGAATTGTCTGCGAAAAACAAAAAAAAAACAACAAAAACAAATGAAAACGTATAAATTTAATGCCAGAAACATTTTTATATTTGGCAGGGCACTTGGTTTTCATAACATGGCTAGAAAAGTGGGGCAAAACAGCAGCTGACAGGGTTATTGAAATGAGATGGATAGGGATTTAATAAGCAAATCTTAGGTTAGGAAAGTTTATTGGCTTATACTTAAATATAGAATCATTAGACCATAATCTGTAATGATAGCTATAAGCAGGGTTTTTCATTTACAGGGTGGCCCACGTAAGATTTGCATTCGCTATTAAAATATCAAATTTTCGCAATTTTCTTCAAGTCTAAACTTAACCATTTTGTAAACCGCAAACCTTCTACTAAATATCTAAGACATAAGCAATGACATTCGAAATGTCAAAGTCAAAATTATTGATAGATCAAAAAGCAAACGCTAGATGGGCCACCCTGTAGTTTGCCTTCTTTAAATATCAACTTTAAGTTAATAACCAAAATTACAAGCAATTTTCATCTTAAAAATAACTAAAACAAAGTTTAAAAGATAGTTAAAAGTGTTAAAGTGTTAAAGTTAAAAGTGTTAAAATTGTTAATGAAAAATAACCAATTTTTACATTTTACCCCTCAACATATTCCCCTAAACTTCCATCTCTTCCTCTTAGCTTTTCTTCAGTGCTAACCTTAACGCATTTCCTTTAATTACAACCCTTTCTTCTAGCCAAACCCACATCCTTTCCTTCCATTTAACCCCACATAGTTCAAGTTTTAACCCATATAAAAAAGAGGCAACCTTATCTATATGAAAGCTGTTAGAAATAATAATTTAAATTAATAATTCTGCGCAAATGGCACCAAAGTATCATAAAGGGACACAAAGTTTCAGGGCAAAATAGAACGGAAGACCACCACCCCCTTTTTAAAAGGACAACGACGGCTGGTCTGCGGCTTTACCTTTCAACCATAGCCCCCTTTTTGTACCCTTTTGGGTTCTGCCTTGTGCATATTTAGTTAAATCATTTCACATAATTAGGGATCATTTAATAATGGGGTAACATTAATTGAAAGCACAAAAACACACACACACACACACATACACATACATATATACAGATGTAAACCACCACCACCGCCCACTCCCCTTTTTTTGGGCATTCCCACTGCTACCGTTTAATTTTATGACCACCCTCCATGTCCACTTGACTGACTTTACGACCCAACAGGGCACGTAGCTTAGGCATGACCCCCCTCTTGTCTACGCCCTTTTTTGTTGGTTAAGCGTGGGCGTGGTTCCCGGAGTGGGCGTTCTGTTTTTGGACTCACTTTTATTGGCCTCTCACTGTCGTCGTCGTCGTCGCCGTCGTCGTCGTCGCTTTTGCTAATTGATTTTAATGAAGGCTCCGACGAGGACGACAAAAGTTTTCCCTCCTCGGACTCCTTGTACCATAAATTGCTGCGGTCAATTTCGGTTTGTTAATTGGGCAAACGTGTGTTTGGGGATTTTTTCTCAGTCTGATTTTCTGTACATTCATTTTCTGGCCAAATTGTAATTACTGAGTAATTATTATGGGAGGGGCGGGGGAATAATATTAGTCAAAGTGTAACTTTTATGGAGGAAAGAAAGTTCATAATTTTGATCAAAAATCTTTAAATTTATATTTCCTAAGATTTTTTCTTATCTAAAAAACTATGCATTTTGAATAATTTTTCATCCAAAAAGGCTTTTTACATTCTAAATGTTTTTAAAAAATATTTAAATTAATTTCTAAGAGCACCAAAATCATCTCCTCATAGTTAACAACCCCTAAACACCTTTTCCCACTTGCCATTGTCCCAGAAAGTTTCCTCTCAAATTAGCAGCTGTCGCCTCGTAAACAATTAATAAATGTCATAAAAACTTTTCTGCCGCAACAACAAAACCATTTTCCAGCCACCCCCAAAAGGATGCGCTAAACAACTTTTTCCACATCCTTACGGCGACATCATTTAACAATTCATAATAAATACTTTTCGGGGTAGAGAACGTAAAGTATAAATTTTGAGAGAAATGCTTGTAAACAAGGTGATCAAAGTGTTTGAATTTTGGAAATTTGAAAAGTTTTCCGGGGGGAGGAGAAGAGATTTGAAGAGGAATTTAATGATAAATTATGAAAGGAAATAAGGAACTTAGAAATCTGAACTTAACTTTGGAACTTAAACTAATATATAATATTCTTTATTAACACCTTTTCAGTGTCCGCCAATATATCCCAATCCCATCAGCATCATCCATCGAACGATAAGGATGGGAAGAAGAAACACACCCGCCCAACATTCAGTGGTCAGCAGATCTTCGCCCTGGAGAAGACCTTCGAGCAAACCAAATATCTGGCCGGACCAGAGCGTGCCAAGCTCGCTTATGCCTTAGGAATGTCCGAGTCGCAGGTTAAGGTAAGACTTCTCTCTACTAAAAAAAAAACCCTTAAACTCAGTTCTTAAGCTAAATGCAAATTAAAAACTCATAAAATTGGCGGATGAGGCAATCAACTTGAACTCGAACAAAAAACGTAAACGTAAAACCAAAAAAGTGACTCCAAAAAAGGTAGACAAGAACTCCGCTGGTTTTACCTTCCCCTTCTGACTTTTCTGACAAATTTGCATTTTTATTGAAAGGCAAATCTCATGGATTTTTTGGCCTTAGCCCACCCCAACCCACCAACGGCCATACAAAATGGCGCCAATGGTTAACCATTTCCCCCCTGGGGAAAGGCTTAGTGCAATGTGTTATCCTCCATTTTAAACTCCTGCCTTTTTTCCACCCATACAACACACCATCAGAAAAAAAAGAAGGGGAGGAGGAAATGTTATCAACAAATAAATCCTTTGTGTCGTCAAATTTGTTGTCATCAACTTTTGTTGTAATCCTAACCGGGGAAACGCACGTGTCCTGGTCGCTGGACGTCCGTGGTTACGCGGCGTGTGCCTTCCCGGATTTTGTATCTTTTCCCGTGGTTTCCGTATCTCATGCTGTGGTTTCTTGTAATTCTTGCATTAGCTGTAAGCCGGGCAGGTTAATTGGTTTTCTTTGGGTTTTAAAATCAACGGTTTTTGGAGGGTTTTTAAAAAAGAGTTAAATAGGGAAAGGTTGCCGTCTTTAGATGGAGTTTTGGGAGAAGTTATAAGTAGAGGTTAACTTCTTACTTTTAGGTTCTTTGCTTTAGAAAGTCTTTGAAAGAATCTTTTCTTCCATAGAACTTCAGTAAACGTTAAATAATAAACCAATCTATAAACTTTAATCAGTCTTCTAGTTGGGTTAAAGACAAAGATTTGAAATATTTTCAACAATGATTCCTTTCCAGAAAGTTATTTATGGAAAAGTGGCCTTAACTAGCCTTTCTAATTAACCAAATTTAAGTATTTTCCAAAAAATTCTATTAAAAAATCATCTTCTTGTCAGAAACTATATATTCCCAAATCATATATACCGATTAGAAGGACATGATTGCCTCATTTGTGCTCCTCCAAAAAAGCTTCCCCAAACCTCAAAAGGGAAAACCTTTCCCCGCCACACAACCAAACGCAATCAGGAGTGGAAAAGAAATCACGTTTATGATGAGGAAAAATGATTAATTGCCAAAGAATGAGGCAAAGGGGCAGACAGAGACAGAGAAAGAGATAGAGTGAGAGAGATAGAGTGACAGAGAGAGAGAAGGCCAAGGAACAGAGATAGAGATAGATAGATGAACATTCAGGATTGATGGCTTGAGCTGCAGCTAAATATGCGTCATTTTGTGCTAAGGACTAAACAGGATCCAGGAAGAGGGGGGGGGGGACAAAGAGGGAATGCGCTGATGACGAGTACAAATGGACATGGAGATGGATGGAAACTGCAGGATTTCGGGTTGAAGCAAGTCCACCCCCCTCCCTCTATTGCTGCCTCAACTCGTCTCTCTGTCTCTCACTGATAGACATGCCAAATGACTGCATGACTTTTGGGTGAGTGTAAATTAAATTCTGGACCCGAGATGGCACAGAATGCACAGAAGGGACAACGACAACGATGGGCATCCTGCCAGCTTCATACATATTCAATTAGTGTACGTGCATGTGTGGCAGTGTCTCTGTGTGTGTGTGTGTGTTAGCCAGAGCCAGAGCCAGAGCCAGATGAAAAACAGCCATGACGATGATAGTATGCAAATTGACAAACAAAAAGGCAGCAACTGGACAACAGCCGCCCCCCAAAAACCAAGCCAAATTATGACAGACAGACAAAATGCAAAGTGGCTGAAACACTGAGAGAAATTATGGGGAGAGTTTTAGGTAGTCTTAGTTAGTTAGAAAAGAGATTTTTGTGGGCAGGAAAGAAAAGTTCTTATGTAGCATAAAGATAGTTTTTTTTTTTAATTTTCACTTTTTACAAGTTACCAAATCTAACTGACTTTTCTCTCAGTGCACTTATATGACTGTGGGTGGTTGGTCAAATGATCTTGACAAGAATAATTGCGCTGTTATCATAATTAAAACCGTTTTTGGGCACAGACGGCGAATGAGAGAGAGCCACTCCTTTCGTCCTTTCGTTTTAGCAATCATTTAATGCAAATGGTCGCCATTTTGTACGCTCTTATGAGCGGGAGTACCCCTCTCTGGAGTACCACCACCCCCCTGGTGAATTATAGCGTCTGTGGCCATTATTAATGACAGTCCATGTGGTGGGGGCGGGGGCATAGTTAGGAGGAGGTCCACTTTGGGGCAATAAAATTATTGCATGTTTTGTTGTTATAGCTTTTTCGTGATTTTTGCCCCTCTCTCCCTCCACACCCCCCACCCGTCTTGTTTTGCATAAATGTAATGGCATTTTGGGTCCTGATTGTCCAGTCAATGTATGTAAACACTTTCCTAGGGATTGTTTTGTTAAGAGTAGGTGGTTAGAAATAATGGTAGAAAGAGAGATTGAGAGAGGGGGAGAGAGAGGGGCCACGATAAACAGGCAAAAGGAAGAGCTGTTTCTGCCATTTGCTGTAATTGGCTTAAAGCAAAAGATAATTTGGGAAATTAATTAAGCATGGGTAAGAGCAGGGTTATTTTTGGGGTGTTTTTGGAGGGTTACGACTAAAGCTGTTTAACATAAAAAAGAGAGTCATAAAGAGGGAAGGTGCTTAGTATAAAAGTTAAGGATTAAACCTGCTTAAAGTTAAGTGTCCATAAAATAACTCTTAAATCTAATAAATTACTGTTTAAATTTAAGGAAGATATAGATATTTTTTGTATATTTTTAGTACCTAAAAACATGTTAAAAACTTCAAGTCAAAGTCCAATAATCACTCCCCAAAAACTACACCTAAAAATCATCTAAAAACTCTCCATAAACACTTTAAACTTTATGACCAGCTTTTAGCATTCCTATTCCTAAACAAAAATCAAAACATTTTCTATGAAATTAACAATATTCCATTACCATAAAAGAACATTTTTAGGAATGTGGCTAAGTGGCCATACTTTATTATGACCAAAAGAAGGCTTTTTTATGATCTGTTACTCTCGATGAGACAAAGATCGCGACGCATAATTAGCACTGGAATTATGAAAGCTTATGGACCAAATCCAATTCGAGGCAACTGTCAGAAATGACAGTTTTGGCAATGACAATGGGCCAAACTGACAGGCCAACGAGCTGACAATGGGCCTGCCTGCCTTATGACAGAAATGTGGGAGGGGGGGTTAATAATGTCTAATTGATTTTTTTTTCTTCTATGTTAGATCTTAGGAAAAATTCTATTGTGACCAGGCTAATGGATTTGATTGTGTGTTAATGAATGGGGTTTTTGACCAGGAATTTACATAAGCACTGAAGACGATTTCTAGGCTTGCTCAGCAATTAGTTGAAAAAAAAAAACCAAGAAAAATCCCAAAAAAAATAACAGAAAAAAATCAACCAAAAAGCAAATGCATTTTTATGACTCAAAACCCTGAGTTGGCTTCAAGTTTATGGCTACGAAATACAAAATCAAATAAATCACAAACTCACATAAATACGGAAAACGATCCACCATATAAAGAAGCGAGGGCGAGCCGGCTATACGGATACGAAAATTTACGAGCCAGAACTAAAAAATACACAAACACACACACACACACACATACACACACTCCCTGGCTTAAATAAATAAATAAAAAAAAATTCTGTGGACCAATAGGAAAAGAATAAAAAGGAAGAAGAGTAGGTACAAGAGCCAACTTGTCAGATGTCGATGTTACCAAAAAAAAAAAAAAAAAAAAAGGCAACACTATGCCCGCTCAGCCATGTTGTAAATTTTCATGACTTTTAAGTATCCCCCGCACACAGAACGCGTAAACAAATAAATTTCCAATTTGCCCAAAGAGTCATATATTTCGCTTTGAGGGCCACACTCAGAAGTTTTTTTTTGGTTTTTGACATCTACCTACCTCGACCAGCGCGTTCCTGTGAAATTTACATAACACTTTTTATCCTTATCTGCTGGGCTCACCTGACGGATGGCTGGCCCGTCCAGGAAACTGTACGGGGACTGCCCGCTGTGGTGCCCAAAATGGAATATGTTTTATAACATTTTCCCTTTTTGTTTGATGGTTCAGTTTGGTTTGTGGAGGTGGAGGAGGTGCTGCTCCTGACGCAATAAATAAATCCCAATCCCAAACCCAATCCCGAATCCGTTTACGAAATCGAAGCGTAACGTTACCAAGTCAAATTGATTGCCACAATATTTGATTGACTTTGACATGTTGGCTGTCATAAATTCTGCTCCCTCAGGTTAACATCTTGACCATCTTCAGACTTTTTGGCCTCTATCTGGCCATACCTGCCATGGGCGGCTTCTAAGTTCTTGGTTAATGCCTGATGTTCTGGTCATAAAACTGTTGCCAAACAGTTGTGAAATTTCAGTTAAGAATGGGAATGTGGTTGTCCATGAAATTGAAAGAAAAACAAAAAGTTGGTACTGCTAACCTTATATCCTTCTGGAAATCAATAAAAATTTAGAATTAGCAAAGGGAAAATAAACTTAAATTAAATATTTCTTCAATTTTGAAAGACATTTCCCAACCAAGACTTGAAGAGAGACCCCTTAAGAGCCAGCAATCTGTTGTCATTGCAACATCAACTATGCTTTAGTGGGTGCTAGATGACGCATACACCAACGTTATGATGACGACAAAATGGGGAAATGGAGATGTGGAAAACCAAGTGGTTGTATAAAGGAAAATGCTAGAAAGCCAGCCAACTTGCCCCCAAAGCTCAATTTTCCCTTTTTTCGCCCATGGCTCAGTGGCAAATCCCGTAACAACATGGACACAGATGTTACCAAAAAATAATGACCATGAAAAGCAGCCTTAATGATGCCAACTAATGTTGTTGTTGCTATTGCTGTTGCTGTTGCTGTTGCTGGCTGTCTGTTGTTTTTCCCAACAGCCAAGACACTGGGAAAATTCTGTCTCTGCTCTCGCCTCGCCTCTGCGGCTTGTAACACACGGAAAATATTAATTGTATTTTTATATCGCATAATGTTGCAAATAATAATTACACAAATGTGCAAATGAAGTTGTAAATTATCCTGTATCTGGTTTAATTGCACCTTTGGGCTGTTGGCTACGGCGTTGATTTCGACATGGCTGTGAGGGTGGGGAAAATGTTTAACAGAAATGGTTATGACAGTCTGGGATAGGTAATTATGGTAATGGTAGTAAACGGGACTTTGAGTTGGCCTAGAATATTGAGGATTGTAAAGGGAAATCAAGTTAAGACTAGATAAAATTTAGTTTTGAAGTGAAAATTCTTACCAAATCAACTTTATAACTTTTCCTTACTTCACTTTCTTCTTCAAAAACCTTCCCTGTAAAACCCTGCAGCATCCATAACTCCAACATTAAGTACCCATTTATACGCTTTGTTAATGATTCTAACTGCAAACAGCTACCAAAAATCTGCTCCATCATCAGGCAAATGTAGAAATTATGCCGATTTTGAGTCTGCCTCATGCCTTTCAAAGAGAGACAGAGAAAACGAAAAGCTGGAAAACGTGCCTGGGACTTTGGGGTGGGGGGTGGTATGGGTGAATCCCCTTTTTTAAAACAGCCATGGGCATTGGAGTGGCGCTGGCTCGTTGAGGATTTTGGCCAACATATGTTGCCACAGAGCGAGGCAAACGAGGCTGGCAAAATGAAGCGCAGCCAAAGACGTTAGTCATGGTTTTGTGCATAGTTTTTGCCGCTGTTGCTGTTGCTGTTGCTGCCATGCCGTTGATGTTGCTGCCGGGCAACATTTCGCCATTTGGCTGTCCAGCCAGGGCTTAATATTGTCTTAATTGAGGGTTAACCGGCGTTGATGATGCGACTTATGGGCTGTTGCCGGGCCTTTTACCCTGCCTCTTCACTGACTTAATGACTTTGACAATGTGACTCGCCTAATTACACATGCAGAGAACTTTCGATTTAAAACTTGGGGGCTATGAATGGGTAGGAAAAACGATGGATATTAGGTTGATATTGGTGTTTTAGATCGATCTTAACAAAAATAATATCTTTTCATTAAGATTTCCTTAAAGAAATTGTAGTTATTTTTACATTTCGATTTTCACTTTCAAAGAAAAATCTTAGAAAAATCTCAGAAATCGGTTATTAAATGGGTTCTTCTACATCTTAAACTAAAATCAATTAAATTTAATACCCTATATACTAAAGTATAATTTTCCTGTTGTATCCTTACAGGTCTGGTTCCAGAATCGTCGCACCAAGTGGCGCAAACGGCATGCGGCGGAAATGGCCACGGCCAAGAGGAAACAGGACGATATGGGTGGCGATAACGATGGCGATTGCAGCGAGACCATGGACAGCGATAACGAGAGTCTCGATATGGGGGAGTCCCCAGCGCAGAACAAAAGATGTCGCAGCAACAGTTCGGGATCCTCGCAGCAGCAGCAGCAGCAGCAGCAGGATAATTATCGTCATTAAAACGAATTTACAAACTGTGCTGCAAGGACATGGACTCGCAATGAAATGGAATGGAAAGCTCTTAGGATAAATTTCAATGCGCCAGCTAATTAGCTAGAAAGCCCAGCATAAGCAGCAGCAGTAGCAGCCGCAGCAGCAGCAGCAGCAGTAGCAACAGCAGCAGCAACAACAGCAACAGCAGCTAAATTATTTGGGTTTCGAGTTTTAAGGTTTTGCCACTTTACCGTCTTCTGAAGACTTCATTTTTTCCCCTCTAACTATCTTAGTTATTAGTTCATCATTTTGTTCATTAGGTGTGTAAATATTTATGTTAATTTTCTAAAAAAAATACATTTAACATAATGCTTGATTAACGTCGCTAATTGGTAAGCAGATTGAAAGGAGTTTGAGGCACAAAAAATTAAACTGAATTTATTACATATTGTATGTTTAGTTTCTAATCCCTAACTTTAATGTAATTTCGTGCATTAGAAACGACCTTAGTTCATAAAATTAACAAATATATATATTAAATATTAATGATTAACTATGCTAACTGAGATTGCGCAACAATATTCACAATATTGATGATGATAATGATGATAGACGCAGGACATGATGATTAACTAATGCGGTAAATTATATGTAAAATGTATTTAAATTAAATTGTAATTTTAATTATTTCAAATTGATAAAAAATAAAATGCAAGGAAAAGTATAAAAGTAATGTTTAAAAATTAGAAATTTAATGGGAGAAATTAGCAGAGGAATATGATAGTTCGTTGACTTAGCCAAGGGTGCTCAAATTCGATTTACGGCAGAGCATTTACGCACACAAATTTAAGAAAACATTTAGTGACGCTTCTATATTGCTGTGTAGCTGTACACTGAGAGAAAGACAAACACTTTGTTTTTGCTAAGCAATTTGTCACTCAGTTCAACACTCACAACGATGGTCCACTTCGAAATAAACAGCAAAATGCAAACCGAAGTTATAAGGAATGAATTTCAGTGCAAGTGTTCGAGGATGATCTAGGGAGAAACAAAAACAAAATATTTTACAGTTATCTACAGAACGAGGCGGAAAGAAGAAAACGAAAAAATGTCGCCAAAAAAACAGGAAGGAATTCCAGTGCAAATGTTCGAGGAAGAAACAAGAACAGTTTTCGACGGAATGAGGTGGAAAAAGGAAAACGAAAAATTGTCGCCAAATAGTCTACTGCGAAATAAGCACCAAAGTGCAAACAGAAGAAGAACGGAAGAACAGCATACAGTGCAAGTGTTTGAGGATGATCGGAAGAAACAAGAACAGTTAGCGACGGAATGCGACGGAATGCGACGGAAAGAGGAAAACGAAAAATTGTTCGTGGAATAGCTACCACCGCTCAAAGCTTATGGGCGAGCAGCAAGTTCATATTCAGCGAGCTGATACAAAAACAAATTAGCAACAACAAACAAATTTAGACTCTAAATTTTAGAACGTCATTTAGAGCACTGGATTAAGATAAAAAGACAAGTGCACTGCTGTTTTAATTCCCTACAAGAACTAAAATTTTAAGATCCAAAAACCAAGATCCGATCAGCCAACGCCTACAAGAGAATTAAGAAACGATTCCCATAGCTTAAAACTCATAACAATTACAGACCGGAAATCTGCTTTAGACACTCCTCTCGCCTGCAGTCAATCCGGCTAGAAAGAAGTCAGTCAAACGACAATCCGTCAAGCGGACAAAGTCAAAAGGATTAACTCGAAAGTATTTCTGGCCAACAAGGTGCAGACAAATGAATGGTCGAAAGGCATGAGGGAGGGCGAAAACGTCACCCAAGAATAAGGGAATGTGTGAAAAGAATCCAACTAAAACCGAAAGATTGATTAACTGTCAATCAAGCGAGCATATGAGTAGAAAACATTGGACAGGCCATGAATGGATTCGAAGCAGGTTGAAGCCGAGCCAAAAGGAAATCTCGGGAGTTGGCCAATAACAATAAATATCATTAAATTATGAATGCTAGCCAAGGTGGCATGAATGAATGAATGAATAAGGCAGAAGTGGGAATGCAACAAGTAGATATTGAAGTAATGGAAGCAGAAGATGGAAACGTGAGTAATGAGGTAATAATAGGATAGATTTTGAATTGGAGTTGAGGGAAAACTTAATTGAGTTTAATTTTAAGGGTATTGCCAATGAGGATGATCTTTCATATCTGTTATATTTCCCCCATAAAGTCATAATCTAGGAATCACGCCAATCAGAAAATGAAAAACCAACTCAACTCCCTGAAAACTCTAACACCCCAACCTCCATTGAGAAAAGAACTCACTAACAATGGAAGCTAACTTCCCAAAAACCTATTAAACCAAAAAAAGAGGGTTCACTCCTCCACCATCGATACCCATGAATCGAAAACTCACATAACTATACATTATCGTCAGACGCACTGAATCGAGACTGGCTAATGACTCCGGGACACTGACTGTTGCAACTACCGAACTGCCATTGTTGACTCGCATCTAATGGGGCAGCCACATTAATCATGCTTTAACAGCGAGTGCAATGGCAAACAATCGGTATCGGTAACTCTTTTTTTTGTGGGGGGGAGGAGTAGACTCCGTTCAAAACGCCATTAGCATACCGACGATAATTACCTAGACGAGCCATTAGCGGCAGCTCAGCAAATAGCCGCCGTATTACGTGATATTCATGGAGGAGTCATAGCGATCCTATAGATCAAAAAACCAAAAGAGTAGACAGAAGAATTGCAACTCATGGAAACCATTGAATCTGGCACGTTTTCCATGGCAATCGGATCGGACTTCCGCACAGTTCCGGTGAGGTTTTTCCTTTCAGAATTTTCACCCATTGTCTTAGGTACGCGCCCAAAGTCAACTTCCAGCAATTGACGAACGAGTGTGAATTGCCTTTGAATTTGCCATTTCGAATGGCTAACAATTTTTTTTCGCCAGCTGCGCAGGCGTCGAACGTGCTAGTTTTCCAGTTCCTTGCTCAGTTTTTAAAATCGAATCCGATCGGTTTCAGGTAAATCCCATTTAAGCCGCTTATTGACGCTGAGGTTAATAGAATTTCACCAAAAAAAAAAGCAAACAATAAACTGTTCCTGTGTGCGAACGTGTCCCTGGTGGACAATTTGTCTTAGGACCTGAGGCCTGTTAATCTCCTCGCTGAAATATTGCAAACTGACTTCGAAAACGGGGCTTGCCAATACGGCTTGTGTTTGTGTTCCCCGGCGTGTCAAATATAATTTGATTAATTGCCTTATTGTATTCCTGGCCACCAGGAGAATGCTCAACAGTTTTGGCATTGCCCAAGATTAGAGATCTCAAAAATCATACACTTAAATGGCTTAGTTGCTGATCTGGATTAGGTTTTAGAGGCATCTTAATGGTTAAAGTTGTTGATTTTTGTTGGTTTTTATTTGGTTATTTTATAAGAAGTTTTTGGTATAGCAACCTTTTTTAAGTTATATTAATAATTGTTAGCTTTTTTAAAGAAATTTAAGATAACCAAAAACCCCTAAAAGCATTCTCAGTTTCAAAACCAAATCTTAAAGAATGTTCCCCACAACCTTCAACCCAGCTTCAACGGCACCCTTTAAGAAGCCCTCCTCGAAAATCGATAGAATAGGGAGTCACAGCCCCGCCCACTCGAAAAGAGAGTTCCCGTGGGAGAATTACGAGGACGAGCTGCCTGGCATTCGAATATGTGTGCTGGCCATAAATAGCACGACAACAAGGCCTCCTCGGGCAGGATTGTTGGCCAAAAATGTACTCCCCAGCAGCAGTCGGTAGCAGTTTAGGCTGACAATGACAGGCCGGAGTTTTGGAGTCGGCCATCAAAACCGCTTCCCTACCGTTCTCCTCCCCCCTAGGGTTCACCCCTTTTTTGCAGGATTTGAGGACGACACCTCATAAATGTCCGTGGAGTGAAGAGAATGGCCAACAAAACATAGACACATCGAGAACGGGGATATGGGGGCCACTAAATTGTCCCTCGACACAAATTCGAAATCGATAAATGATAAAAATCAAGAGAAACTTCATGGATGCTCCATCTCTGTCTCTGTCACACACACACACACCAACTCAAATGATGGCGTCGGCAATGTCGCTTCATGAAGCTTTTATTGTCTGTCTATTTCTAAGCTTTGTACATGGACTCCACCGAAAACCAGAGCCATATAGCCATATAGAAGTTGATGGTAGTGGGAGCGAGAGGTAGACTATTTGGTCCTGCGCGCCGGATTAGATGTACATTCTCTTTCTGTCTTTATCTTTCTCTCTCTCTCTCTCTCTCTCGCTTGCACTCACCAAATTTTCGAAAACTTACCAAATTGTTTTCGTTGCTGGGGTTTTGCCGGGTGGATTCCAATGCTGATATACGAGCGCTTTTCCTTTTGCTCCCCCCAAAATATCCTGTCTATTTTCCGGGGGATGTCTCTCTATCTACGAGTGGGTAATGTACGATGTGCCCGTATTTGTATCAACGTATCCATGAGAGTGGGTGTTACTACTATACTGTAGCCGTAGTGGTAGTAGTCATAGTCCTTGTAGGCAGACATCGACATTGATTATGCTGTGTTTTTCGCTTTGTTTTTTCCCGTTATCCTTGTGTCATCCTTGTTGTTGTTCTTGTTGTTGTTGTTGGTGGTGGTGCTGCCAGAGTGTAGCGAATTGAATTATTGTTTATGTTTATAGCAAAACAATGTCAGGGTATGCGTTTTTAATGATCATTGTAGGGGCAATCTATTTATATAAATAGGGTGGATACTGAAGGGGAAGAAAGGGGATAAAGAGTGGCGTGTAAAAAGATGGATTAGTTGGGAGCACCTTCTCAGGTTGGGTTGGGTTTATACCTCAAGAAGGTATTTTGGAGGTTGTATGGACTATTTTTGGCTCTATTTAACATTTTTTAAAGATATTTATTATGTATGGTTTAGTTTAAAAGAGATAATCATAAGGCTTAAACATAACTTTAATATAATAAACTAGTCTTAAGACATTTATTGTTTACAAATACGAGTTTATAGTAACATCATTGGACAAGTTATATACTAAGAAAGTAAGTTAACTTATTAACTCTTGAATTCTCTTAAGAAAATGTTTTTCTTTAGTAAGATAAGTTAAAGTAAGTTAAAAGTTTTCTGTAATAACAAACATTTTTGAACATAAAATTGACTTTTTGAAAGAAATTACAAAGTTTAAAATAAATTTATATCCATTTTTGATGACTTCTAATTTACTTCCATGGTAAGTTAAGCTTTTCCAACATAATCCACATATTTTGGTTAAAAAAAAACTCACTTTCTCAATATTTCCCCAACCCAATCCCCATTTCTAAGACTCCTTTTCCAAAAGCAGATCAAAACCAAACAAAAAAGAAACCCTAAAAATATTTTAATTAAAAACCCAAAGTAAAATCAAGGGAGCGACTGTTAATGAGCTGGAACCGAGGTCGCACGGTACAGTAGCCTATCAAATATGCAACAAACACGTCGCAACATTGAAGAAAACAAACGAACAAAGCAAAAAGAAATATACCAAATAAAAAACGAAGAAAACAAAGCGGGACGAGAAGGTCAAAATGTAATCAAGTTGGGGCCAGTCAGTATATATATGTAAGTACAAACCCAGGCTCAAA